ATAGTGTCCTTTATCATCTTCGTATAATCACATTTCACTTTGTTATTATATTTTCTCTCGAGTTCTTGCTGTTTTTTGGGGAGCTTCACTCTCTTTCGGAAGCAACAGTCGAGATATTTGGAAATGACAAATGATAATAGAGGGGAGATTTATACACCTTGCGATTTGCTCTTATCAAAAATATGTACTACAACTTACAGAAATAATATTACATCGCGAAATTATTTGGCTATATCCAAAGTGGCGTTTTAGCTATTTATAAAACACCCCATACAAAAATAACCGTAATGAAACAGAGTACGAATTTTAAGAGGGCTCCGGCTCTAAGGGTACACGCACAGCGAGTTAGGGTACGAGCCCTTGTGCCTGCTGCCTGTATACGGGGAGCTTTTCATAGGGTCTTGTATATGCCAACGTTTTACATCCCCTAAAATGTATCGTGTGTACGCATTGCCAGGTACGATTTTTTAAAGGTCTAATGACGCTTTCTTTTGTCGTAACAGTTAGTTTAAATTTTTATTCTTTCGGCAGTTAATATTGCTGATTCACAATTCATTGTACAGGAATGAATTGGTCTTGGAAGAGCGGCGACCAGAAGTAGCAAATTCGATAAATGATTTACCCCCATCTCAAATTTTCTCTATTTGCAAATTGTCAAAAATGTTTCTCTTTCGTTTAGCTTTATCCTTAAATTTCTTTCACCGTCTTAAAATTGTGGTAAGTACTAACACAAGTTTCGCGTCTCGCGCAAATAGTCCAAAAGGGAATAATTACGAGGTATCGTTTCTACTCGTAATAAGCTGTTTGTGATCACTACGTGTTGTCAATTTGGCGATTCTTTCCGTTTTCTTGTGTTTCTGGCAGTAAATTGTGATTTTTTTGTGTTTCCACAGCTACGTTGAAGACGATTCAATTAAACGCACTTAGCTGTATTCCAAAAAATAAAGTTGCAAGTTGTTACCAAAATTTGCAGTATGGTCAAAATTTGCGCAAATGACTTGTACACTAAACGATTTAAAAAATGTTTCCATGTAAATCAAAATTTTGGAAGTACATAGTTCGCATGCCCTAGAAGGTAGGCAGCCCATCACACACGTTAAGAAATTTGTTCATTCACGTTCCTTGCTATAAGTAGGCAACCAATCGAGCTTCCTATTCTTCAAACAACTGAAACAATGAATAAAGAACTGAAACAACGCAAGCCTTATTTTTTATTTCGAAATTCGCGTAATGAATTTTCGGCTCTGCGAAAAACTATTGTCAGTTTCTATTTTAATCGATAGGTGTGCTTCGAGTTGTTACTCAGTAAAGATGAGAAATGTGTGAGTAACAGTAAATACCAAGCGAGCCGCATTTAATTTTCATTGTGCGCTCTGAACGTTTTCCCCACTGACAATTTCACAAGTTCTTACTTATAATGGAACTAAGAGCGTGATAACCTTGACGTGTCTTAGGTGTACTAAGCGGCCTTCATTTGTTTAACTGGCCCGACTTGACCGACCACACCATCCACTCTAAACCATTATTCTAATGGACCTGGAAATAATTAAGTTCTGCCCTTAAAAGATAATTTTGTTTGATTTTTTGTGGGGAAACAATAACGCATATGGGCAGGCGAACGTTCACTCGCGCCGTCCAGACAAAAATTAGAAAGTCCGAAATAGCGAGATTTAAATATCGTAGTTCGTGCGCAAGCTACAGAATTTGTACTTCGTAATTTGTCTAATTTACCATTTTCGTATTTTATGTTATAATCATGTTGCGGGCCGCCCGAAGAAACAAAATAAAAATTGATATATTGCATAAGGAACCACCCCTTTTTCAATATGTAACAAAAGGGAAGTAATTTAACCCATGGATATAATTTTATTTGTATAGTAGTAGGATTATATTTTGTTTCTAATCAATTAATAACAAATGCCGGACGTAAAGCTCATTTTTTAAGATGAGAGCGCGTGCAAAGAGAGAGTCGTACCTGATTTATGTGCTGATTATCATGGGGGTTATGGAAACCATTGATTATAGCTGCGAATGCCTCTATAAATTTTTTGGCAAAGAATTTTTGCGCAACAAAGCGAGTCCCCCGATTAGCACAAAATTCACGATCAATGGATTGTGCCTAAGTAGGTAGCAAGTGCTTAATTGTGCTGACTACCCAGTGCCACATTTTTAGAAATAGGTACATGGCAGGAGGGGGCACCTTGATGGTCAGCCACATCAGGAAAGTTGGGACAAGTCAAGTCAAACTCTCGTCTCAGCATTTTTACCAGCGCAAGTGTAAAAAAAACGAAATTGATTACGGGGGTGAGTCGCTTGCCGTTAACCATTTGAACTACATGACCGTGTGAGTTTATACAAAGGATTTAGACTTTGTTAAAAAGCTAAAAAAATGGATTCAAGCTCCTTTTAGTAGTTGAAATTTATTCAATGAAGATTAACCGTTTGCTCTAGGAATTCAATTCACAAATGATATACTTAGATTTATTGTGAGTTTACACAATCATCATTAGGTCACTATCATTAGATCATTAAAAATATCCAATAGAATCAACGGTTTATTGTACGTCATTAACCAACGAAACCATACTTTTGTTTCTATTGGTTATTTATTAATGATCTAATGATAGTGAACTTATGATAATGATTGTGTAAACCCACTATTCGATGAAAAGGATTCGCTGTATTTCTAACTGAATTCTTTATTTATGCAATACCGAATTGGTTGTGTACATATGGGCTATGTATCCTTTTAAAAATACCATTTCAATGCATTGAATAGATGGCCATAGGAAACCAATATTTCACGCGACAAACGACCGGTACTTCTAAAATTCTTTCTTCGTTCAGAAATTAAAATGGAATCCCTAACGTTACTGAAAACCCATCTTGAATAATAATAATAATTATTATTATTATTATTATTACATTACAGGAGGATGTAAAATGCTTGCGGGTACGGACTATACCGAGAGACATGACACCGCAGCGAAAATCCTCCACCAGGAGCTTGCATTAAAGCACAAACTCGTACCCACACGAACACAATATTACAAATATACGCCAACAAACATCCTCGAAAACGACGAATACAAATTATACTGGGATAGGACATTACACACAGACAAGACAATACCACATAACAGACCAGACATTACACTCATTCACAAAAGAACTAACAAAACACATCTAATAGACATAGCAATACCAAACGACGCGAACCTTCTAGACAAAGAGCAAGAAAAAATTGCAAAATACACTCCACTTGCAATTGAATTAAAAGAGGTATGGAAGCAGGATACAGTGACAATAGTACCAATTATAATATCTGTTACCGGACTAACAGCGAAAACTATTACACGCTACTTGAATACGTTACAACTTCCGGAATACCTGCACACCAACATGCAAAAAGCCATACTATTGAAAACGGCTAACATCGTAAGAAGGTTCCTTAACCAATAATAAGCCACATCTGCATGACGACTTGGTCACGACCCGTCTCATGTACCACAACCACTATGTGTGGAAATAAACAAATAATATTTATTTGCCCAACAGATATACATCCACTTATTGGACAAAGCCATATTACAAAACAAAATACATTTACATTTTGAAACTCTTCGTGAATTTTTAAGACCTCTTCGACGCTTCGCGTTTTAAAATAAGCCCAAAATTAATTAAATACGTGTTCGGCAAAGTTCGGGGTGACGTCATTACAAAAAAAAACCATTTCGAATCGCCCAAGGTTTCACCTCTCATATTTGTAATAAATGTTGGGTGCGCAAATAAGTATGTTCAAAAGGTTAAAGCTGCGTATACATTATCCGAACCGCACGTGTAATCGGCGATCTCTATTTATGGGGTGAATTCACTGGGCTTCTCCGCAATCTTCTCAGTAGATACGGCGCTTCCAAGAGTACCATTAATCGAACTTCTTGTGGCTGAGACATTTAAATTTATTTTGTTCTACCATGAACGCCCAAACGCAACGCTAACGCTCTCGCTTGCACTATGAACGAGCCTTAATGGCACACTGCCGTAAGAAAGATGATTTAATGATATTCGCCATCGATCAAACGTCGTTTTTGGCCGAATTCAATATCAGCCATTTTTTTATTTTGAAGATATCAATTTCGTTTAAGTTACGAGAAACTGTGACACACTATCAAATATTTCCCTTGTTTATTATTTCACGTCCCGATGGGAGCAAAGCGTCCACTTTGGCGGCTCGTCTTCTCAAGGCCACAAATTTTTAATTAACACACGTTGGAGTCTTTCTTCTATTTCCCACAGCACTCTTTGCTTTGCGAATTTTCGTGTTCTTAGATGCTTAGTTGTGCAGTAAGTATCCCTCGTCAGAGAATATTTGTTGTGCGGAAGTGTTTCACACAAAATAAAATTTGCAAAGACTGTAAGAATTATGTAGAGTGCACCATATTATGTGAGTTTTGTAGCCGAATCAAAAGATCAAAACCATACACCAAGATCAAAACAACCGCAGAAGTAGCTTTTTGGACGCGTACGTTCAGATAAGCGGGAATGGTGCATTTCTCATTCCACGTTTTCCAGATAATCCCGCCCTGTCGTCGCCCCGTAGGTAATTATATGAATGTATCGATACCTCAATATCAGCCGTATCGGCGAGGCAACCGCTATGCAGATATTAAATATCTGTATACGTCGATCCCTAAACGATATTATTGTCAGTTTGTAAATTTTGAGGGAGGAATGATGAGTTATAAGGTTTTATTTCTGTCCGTGCACAACTATCTATAATGGCTTATGTAATCAAGTTGTGTATAGGTACTAGTTCGAAAATGTATAGGTATTCACTCAGGCGAGTTGTTACAAAAAATATAAATGAGGAGACTGACGCTGTGTAATTAAACCAAAATGCTGCCTACATTTTTGGAATTTTCAAAAAATCCCATTTTAAGTTTAAATATAACGCGTGCCCCCGTATGAGCGTGGTACTTAATTTTAATTTTTCTTTACAGAACTGTGCCATGATGGGTTTGCAGGGTACCACAGGGAAACGAAAGTTAGAAGCAGCGGTTGCACCAGGTGAATTATCTCCAGCAAAGAATGGTCGTTGGGAGGCACAAGACTGTATAGCTCGTCTACAAGCAGTGGCGGTACCAAGTGACACGTGGCGTTCTCCAACACCCTCGCTCACCGCCACACTCCTTACGGACGATTTCGAGGACGACGACGATTTCGAGGACGAGCTATCGGATGACGATCGAATCCCGGGAATACCCGAACCCGCGAGGTACCCGCAGTATCCCCGCTACCCGCCGGATTATTGGCAGTACTATCAGCCTCCTCAACAGCAGACGATTCGCTGCGAAGAAAATGGAAAATCGTACCTGGAACTGGGCGCCGCGCCGCCGCAACGGACGAGGTGCTGCGACGGTAGGACGCGATGGTGTCACATCCCGTGTTACCGACAGAGACGTTTAGCCGTTCTTAATCTTTCAATGTGTAAATTAGCGAGATACCGACAATGTTCGGATCCCTCGTTACGTAGATCTGTGTTAATTTGTAATACCTTAAGGAGGCTAGAGAGGGAAATGGAAACGGATCCCCCCGAACCTAGTTACTCGAATCTTCCCGAACTCTCACCGCCAAGTAGAATATCGCCTGTTATTCCTGAACCTAACTATGAGCAAACTCTCAGGGAAATGACCTGCTCGTCCGGTCGTGCCACTCCTTTTCCTTCTACGCTTCCTGATTCCGATTCCGGCATCGGTGACGACGATATGACGAAACCGATCAACTGGGGATCCGTGCTGAGCCTTACCGCGCAAACGGACTTAGAACCTTTAAATAACAACGAACTCTACGCTGAATTAGGACTCTCTAGTGATATGACGCAAGAGTGGAAAGAACCGTCAACGTCGAGGTCGGACGATTGGGACGGGTTCATGCACGTCTTAGTCGGGGGTTCGTAGCATTAACTTACGGCTTCTGCCTCCTTCCGGTTGTGATTTTTAGCTAAAGACATTTTAGTGCAGTGCAGCTGTTGTTGACTATTTTTATTTTTATATTTAATAACGGAATTTTTATCTCGTAATACAAACTCAAAGTACTTTTGATGGTACTTAGGCGTTTACATAAATAACCCTTTGTTGACTTACCAACGTGGTTGATCTCCGTCGCTCAATATTTTTAAGCTCAAGCGAGTTTCGATTGTTTTATTGATATTAGCTGGTGTTATTGTCCCTGTTTGGGCATTCCTGGTGTATATAGTCTTGCGTTTATTGTACATATTGTACATAAGAGTTTTAATTAGGATTATCAAGTTTTTGTAATAATAATAATTCATATATGTTAAAAAAAATTTTAAATGATGTGTGAATTTACAAACTTGGCAATATGGTTTCTATATTTTAAGTCTCCCGAGCTATTTCAAAAACATTTACTTTGCGGCGTTCGAGTTCCTTTATTTTTAAAGTTACCGTACTAAGAGTACAACTTTTAAAGTATTATATTTTACGTGTTGCATAAAATTCTTCCGTTACCTAAATGGCGAATGTTAACATTTCTTTTTTATTTTACACTTTTCATTTCTATTTATTTAACAATTGAATTATTTTTATGCGGCATTTTTATCAAATTTGTCAATTATTTTAGGAGAACCACATAGCATACGGGAGCAAAATCTAGTCGATCATTAGCCGTTGTCAAAAAGAAGTATGTGAGCCAGTATTATTTAAACACAACTTTTTTACCTAACCGAACAAATGATACTCGTTCAAACCGTCCTAACTTCTTGTAGATGATGGCTATAATGAGATTCATACAAGTTATTTCGTATAATAATTAAATCTTGCCATGACAATTATCGTTTTTTATTTAAAAAGAAATTTTGTATCGAGTAATACGTCTTTCTAAAAACCTGTATGGTACAATGGAATTGAAAAATGGCAGCTATCGTTGCGACAATTAATGGGGGCGTATTCTTGATATACAAAGATATGGCTATAAGTGCAACATAGAAAATATTTTTTGAAATACTTTTCTTACGTTTTTAACAGAGGAATAAACTACAAGGGCACAAGTAATACTGTTATATAATGAAGAAATTGAAATAGTAAATTGTTGTGGTACGATGATGTAATTAATTTGTTGAGATTCCATTTAACAAAATAGTTTAATATGAAAACTAAGGCAATCAATATTATACAGTTTTTATGGAAAATAGCTGTGTTTTATTCTAAAACTGATATATTTGCGAAAATGAAATTTTAAAAGTATTTTGATAAGATTGCAATAAGAAATTTTGAAACTCGTTGTTTCTTTGCTTGATTTCTATTAACAAATAAATTTATTTATTGCTAACTACAACGATATATATATAGAATTATTTATTAAAAAGAATTAAAAGTGAGACTCTTATTTCTTGATGGAAATCAGGCTTTAGTTATAAATTTAATTACTTGTACTTCGTCCCCACATCGACGTGATGTCAATAATAATTACGTACAACACTGATTGTGTGCAAGTAACATGTGATATCATGTAATATGTTAGTGTTAAGAATAAATCCGTATATATATAATTAATATATATACATTTACATGGATTTTACTTTAATTTACATTCCATTCCTTCCCTATGACCACCTCAAATGCAACATCCGTTAACCACTTTGAAAAAAAATTCAAATGAGACCTTGACAAGCAACTTTAAAAATGAATTAAGTCACTGCTTTAGAAGAACGATGGAACACTAAAAGCTCACGGCAGTGATCAGGTTAAAAGTCGATAAAAGATTCAATATCTGCATTTTTTAAAGTTGGTAAGTATCTCCTCGGTTACAAAATTTGGTACTTGTATACCAATAAACTTTAGAGCAGCCAACGTACTTAAATGATGCGACAAATTATCGTACAGTCTAGTAAGAACTCTTTCCTAAACCTCCTTTATAGTAGCTGAATAATCGTCCGCTTTCTGGTTTCAAGCATTCATTGTGGCATTAGTATATACAGGGTGGGCGGAAGATTGTAGGGTAATTAAGGCATATATTTAATATTTATTGTCGGGGCATGCTGAAGGACTCTTAAGGCTACAACCTAAAAATATTTTCAACGACATTACAATTGTTACACAGAGTGATTTATATCAAAGTTGCATTTTTGAAATAGAAAACTGTGTATATTATTATATGCATAACGCATATATGTCAATTCCTTGGTCAGTTTATGTGTAACTTTATGTACCTATTACACATGATATCTAAAATGAGTCGTTTCGTCATTTTTTCAAAAAGTAGATGTCCAGTAGAAATTGAATATCGCCGTCATAAGACAGAAGGTCGTGACTCTGCAGTATTACAAATCATGAACTGTACCTACTCACAAACACCGAACGGTCAAAGTTACATTTTTTTGTGTTAAAACAAATCACTCCAATTTTCAAATTAAACGTAACTTGATTTTTTTTTATGGAACATCAGTTTTTCTTTATTGCATCAAATGTAGGATTTGATTAGTATAAACATGTCAGTATTTATACCTACCATTTACATATTTTTTGTAATTCAAGAACTTCTAATAATTCACTGTTTTTCGATGTTCAAAACCTCTCAGTAATTATGAAGCCGTTAAAAGTTATAAACACCAATTCAAACTATAAAACATTTACCCCAAACAAAACAAAACAAAAGCTCATATTTTTCATACCTCATTTTAAAAGATAAAATAAATAATTTTGCATTATTTACACCAATGTGTGAGCTGCAATAGATCAATTTGAATAGTAAACCATGAAAAGCCATATTGGAAAATGTTAATACAAAATAAAATGAAGTTCGGTTCATTGGCATTTACATTTCTGTTAAAAAATGAAATTTAAAAAAAAATAATTTAGCAGTGCTATTTACTATGATTTTTAAGTAGGTAGGTACTCAACTTTTGCCTCTTCAAAATGTTCCGGTGCACATCGTCGACGAAATGCGGTTTCAGTACGATGATGCCCGACCTCATCTTGCTGTAAACGTTAAACAATGGATGAATCAACAATTTCCTGATTTCCCGGATACGCCGAATAGGCGCTATATGACCAGTGCGCTCTCCAGACCTTACACCACTGGACTTCTTCTTATGAGGATCTGTGAAAAGAGTTGTATACAAAGTCCTAACAACAACAAAGAATATGAACATGCACATTCGCACTGCTTTCGCATCCATAACACCAGCTATATATGCTCGGTGTGTCAAAGGATGCATCAACCAATGTTTGGTACAGCGGCAAAGACATTTTGAATATTTATTAAAATAATTGTTATTTTTCTTATATTTTTATTTAAACTGAGAGGCATTGAAAATAGAAAAACACTGAATTATTAGAAATTGTGGAATTACAAAAAATATGTGAACGGTAAACACTAATATGCGCTTATATCGTTAGAATGGTACCTAATCAAATCCTACATTTGATGCAATTAAAAAACTGAACAAAATGTTTTACAAAACATCTTAAAAAAACAAGTCACCTCTGATTGGAATTTTGAAAATGGGCAGGAGTGATTTAGTACATTGCCAGCAGAGTTACATTAAAATTGATCAAGGAATATACAGAGTGGCCCAACGAGAAGTATACAGAGGGCTTTTAGACTATTAAATTTAGAAATTTCGAAAAATCCTCGAACACGTCAATTTTGTATTCGAGGGGGACACCTTTGGAATACAAATCACGAACCCAAGTCTTCACTTCACCCCTCTCCGTAGGGAGCTTAACCCCTAAAATTTTAAATGGAATCCTATGGCAAATGGCACATTATTTGAAAGTCAATTTAATCGTGATTACTAATCTGCTTTGCTTTTTAAATTCTATTGAATCGTTTCGGAGATAATTCGCATTTGAAGTGGTTTTTTCTAAAAAAAAAACAAAATAAATACGATCTAAGTCACCTTGTATTAAAATTTTATTTTGACGCTTCAATTTGTTTGTTCACTTAAGTGAACCTGTCAGTTCTCCGAAACGAATCAATAGAATTTAAAAAGCAAAGCAGATTAGTAATCACGATTAAATTGACTTTCAAATAATGTGCCATTTGCCATAGGATTCCATTTAAAATTTTACGGGTTAAGCTCCCTACGGAGAGGGGTGAAGACTTGGGTTCGTGATTTATATTCCAAAAGTTGTCCCCCTCGAATACAAAATTGACGTGTTCGAGGATTTTTCGAAATTTCTAAATTTAATACCTACCCTAAAAGTCCTCTGCATACTTCTCGTTGGGCCACTCTGTATATCAGAATATGCAATAATATACAGGAGGTTCCATTTAAAAATATGCAACCGTTTTGAGTTGGAGGAATATTTTAAATCTATACCTGTCTTTATGGGCAAAAAAGAGGATGTAACGCCTATCACCCTATCAAAATCCTGCACTTAGTTAAAATACACCGCATTCTGGAAAGGCAGACAAAGGGAACACAATAGACCAAAAGGTCGCAGTGCACGAACCGACTGGGACCATGGTAAATAGGTTCCTCTCGGAGTGATACACGACCGCGTCGGAAGAAAGTAAGAATGAGCAAGTAACGCGTCTTGATGGTCATGGTATCTTTCAACGCTATAAGTGAATCGTGCACCACGAGTTTGTACTAATTAGTAGACCGTCAACAAGGGCTTCTGCAAAGAAGTTCTCGGAAGACTCAATCACAGGCAGCGCACCAGCCGGCACCGTAAGAGGGGCGGCAAAAGCGGTCATTTTTTTAACCGTTTTAATCGAAAATTGCGAATTGAAAGAAAATAATTTCAAGATGGCGCCGCTTCCGTAAACACTGGAAGAAGAAACACTGGCGCCATCTTGTTTTTTTTAACAGAAAATAACATACTATATATTTTCTATTTTTTTCTAAATGCGTCGTTTCATTCTGATTCACCGCATTTAATATTTGCGAACCTCTCTGTCATACTTTTTGCCATAACATGTCAATTTCTCTCTAAAAATTTTTTAGATGCAATGGGTCCAATCAAAAATTCATATCTCTTAAATCCTTCAAGATAAGTGAGTGTTCTTTTTTATAATCGAATCCTTAAAAGTCTAAGAAATTTTTTGACTGGTCGCTGAGTCTTGAAAGCGTCCAGGACTGCTGCAATTTTTCAAAATTAGCAATCAAAAAATGTCAAAAACCTCAGTTTTTCAAATTGCAACTATCATTTCTGGCAATGAATGTAGATTTGAATTTTAGGACCATTTTTATTGACAGTAAGTGTACCTATATCCGGTAGTTTTTGAGTTGAGAATGCTATTGTCTCTGAATATCAAAAAATTATGGACTTAAAAACTGCACTGCAAGGGAGTGTTAAAAAGAATTATGTCAATAATTTTAGACTATTAGCTTCACAATGATGTTTCAACGTTGCCATAGTCCCGGCAGACTTCTTGTTCCCAAGGGTGGAAAGGGAGCTGAAAGAAAAGCATCTGGAGAACCTGATTAACATTCAAAAAATAAGATGTGCCTTTACAGCATTCTGAAAAGCAAAGTTCCAGAAGAAAAATGCTTGTTTTGTAACACCCTGTATACATGCGAAAGCCACGCCGTTTATAAAACATATACACGGTGCCGCGCCGATCGTCCAAAGTTGATAAATATAGCTTCCTTCTTTTAGCGCATGCGCACTGAATCCCCACATGCTTTGTATTCAGACAGACTACAATCTGTGATTCAAAGAGACATTAAAGACAAACGTTGCGCGACCTTCAGAAAAAAAAAACTTGTTTTGATCACTTCTTAACTTGCCAAATAGAGTAACAAATACGCCAGTGATAGGTTGCTCAATATTTCGTTGGTCTGGTCTCAGTAACTTTTTTCTTTTCTTTTTAATATTCAGTAATGCTAATGAGGAATTTACTATAGTACCACCCATCGTTCATGAAGTTTATTAATTGGGAAGCAAAAGGAGATACAGCATCAGCGGTAGGGATTGATATCTTAAACAAGTGTGATGGTAACGTTTTAAAAAAATGCTCCCAGTAACCTACATATTTGTTGTACAAACATCGACAAGAGTTAAATTAATTTTTGTATACAATCACACAAAAAAGTAAAAATAAAAACAATTCTTTATTCAAGAAACAATTAGGTATCAAAATTTCATTTTCCATCAGTAACAAGCATGTGAACGTTCCTATCTGACTGTATCATTTTAAGACCTCTCTCGGTTCCAACAATTTCTGCTATTTGATTGTGGTCATATTTTGAGTATAAAATTGTCACAGTCATATTCGAATTACTACCAATTTTTGAATTCATATTAGCTTCCTGCAACAGTGAAGTTAATTAATACTGTAATTGTAATATGGTCTATGGAGGATTTAACTGTAGACAAACTGGTACAGAGGACAGTATTATTACTCTATTTTATCAAAGGCCAATAAAATGTAAACCATTTTTCAAAATACAGTGATATGACACAATGGAAAACAGTTGGATAATCATTTACAAGTTGCAAAAGGTAAAATTATAATGCCTCGGTTCTAGCTTGCATACAGTTCACCTTAGTAGCATATACCTGCATTAAATTGCACATTTCGTAATAAAAATTAGGGAATGTAGGTGGCTGATAAAATACAAGATGCCTTATACCTTTCACCCTCACCCTATTAAAAAAGTGGTATCTTTCAGTATACAACATAAAATGAGCATCTCCATGAAAGAACATATCTCGAGCTCTCGCTACTTTTCCTTCCTACAAATTATTTACATTAAACTCCAATCACATAACAACACCTCTCCCCTTTACCTTTGAATACTCACACACTTGCACAAAGCTGATATCCTCCCTCTTAAAATAATTCCTAATCTTAACAAATTCGAAATAATTCGAAATGTATATGAAGGTTTGCTTCATTAAAGGCTCTCGTTGATGCGGTATTATTTTATTAATAAAAAAGGTAAAACGGGCCTCCATCGATTGTGCAACACTATCCGCATTGAATTTTTGAAAAACGTGCGGCAGTTGATTAAATACCTGACAAATTGATCCGACGCTTACACTTTTAATACATCTAACTTTACCGGCGTAATTGAAACATTTCTTATTAAAAATGGTGTTTATTTCGGGCAACACAATCGAGGCTATGATTACTGTTTGCCTGTAATATTTGGCCCATCCATTTAAACTCCAAGTTCGCACACGTGAAAAGTCGGTGCCGTGCGATTCCTTTGGTTGAAGGTGCAAGTGATTAAATAAGTGAAAGATATGGTCCCAATTTTGCATCAGAAAAATTTCCGTTTGGTCCATGATTAGTAGTTCGATCGAGGCCAAAAAATCAAAGTCTCTTTCCGCTTCGCCTTCAGCACCTATAATTGTTCGTAATCCCAAGGGAGAAGCAATAAGTATATCCGAGGAGTAAAAGTTGGCAAACAACTGGAATTAAAAGATAGAAGTAAACAATATGATACCAGATGATGTAGATGTAATACAGATAGCTCATCCCATGCACGTTATATTTTTTCGTATCTTTGCATTACATATTACAAGGTCTAGTTATCCAAGATATTAAGATACGACAAATTCTTACAAAATCCAAAAATATTACAGCAATACATTTTTGATTCTTAAGTTTCGCTACAACAAAACACAGTAATTTTATTAAAAAAGTATGTTATTCACTGCCGCTGCCAGCATTTTTTTCTTTCCTTCTTTTACGCCTCCGTAGTTTCTAAACAACTTTTGTAATTGGACAGACACATCTCTTGCTCTTCGGATTGTTTTGTTGGTGTGCTTGATAAACTTTAATTGAGTGTGTATGGCTACTTCCAGTACCTCGAGGGTGAGCCTTCTCCTTCCTGCTAATATGGCAGCTTTCGTTTTGGCCGGTTCCATTGTAGGGGTCTGTTCATCCACAACTTCATCTCATTGATCGTTGCTTCCACCTTTTTAATCGCCGTCGCCGGGTTCCTATCGCATCCAATTACCGCTGGTTCATCTGCGTCACTCCACATCGCGCCGTCAGTTTTACAACTCCATCGTATGCCAAATTCCACAGAAGGGGTCCCAAAACTAATCCCTGAGGCACTCCTCCATCATTCTTAGCAGATACGCCGGCGCCTTAGACTGCGCCATGGCCTCCATAATTATGTCATGTCCGTTGGCAGTGTATTGAAGGCGTTCCTTGAGACATGCCATTGACAACTGTGCGTGGCCGTCTTCCTCACGCATGATGAACCGTTTGGGGTTGCTGCACTTTTCCTTGAAGTGCCCTTCCTGGTCGCCGTTGAGGCACCGGTCCTTTTTGTTTGGGTACACGCCGTTCCTTTGTCGTGCAGTTCCCAGCATTTCGGCACTTCTACCCTCTTCCGTCCAGGTCCCTAATGTAATATGCTCTAGTCTCTTTTCGAACTTCGCATGTTGCCTCACCCATGGCGTCTTAAAACTTTTCTCTGCTTTTTTCCAAATCCCCTTTCCTTCTTTCCATTACTATCTTGAGTCGCTCATCTTTTGTATTTTATTATCCCCCTCTTGTTCTGGGCCCTCAACAGGCTTGCGCCCAATTACAGAGTGACCCGCATAATGCTTTTAGAGGTGCCTCTGCAGAAGGTCTTAAGTTGTTCTATACTACTCCGGTATTTACCTTACAAATTAGGAAAACTGCAGGAAAACCTAATTCAGAGTAGCCGGCAGAATGATCGAAACTGGTCAAAGATAATTTCCATCTCTGCCACAGATAAAAAATTCACCCCAACCCAGGTTCGAACACCCACCCTCCGGATTTATAACTCAACGCTCTACCATTGAGCCATAATGCCGGTTTTATAAACGGCTCGAAGTACCCCCCTCTCCTGGCCCTCCTTCTAGGGTTTTTTTTGGCCCCTTTGAGTATGTCCGCATATGACATGCCTTCCTCCAAACAGATTAATACGCTGTTGCTTATTGGTAACAGCTCTTTAGCCGTCCTTTGTTAGTCATCCTTTTTCGGGATGGAGATGACCACTTCGTTATCCAGCCACTGCTCCGTTTCAAGCTGCATCTCCTCTCCTCGCGCCTTTCCCTGGGGCCACTCTTCTGTGACCACTGTCCATATTTCTTCTGCCGGTGCTCCTTTATCGATCTTCCTCCTGATTTCCTCCATTATCATGTACTCTCTATTAATGACCACCTGGCAGTATCTCATGTTTCGCTTTGTTACAGTCTCATGTTTCTTTCTGCTACTTTGTTCCAGGGCGTCTGGTAGCTTGTTAATAAATTTTAGTTAAACTAAACTGAAGTTAATTTCCATGGAAACAAATATAGTAACACAAAAGTTTGACCGAGATAAGAAAACCGGCGAAAAAAATTAATAAAATTAATAACTTTTACCGAGACTTTTAGTTAACCGTAATTTAGCAAATAATTATAGTCATTTGAAAAATAACCACAGGGTGCATCAAATTACCAAGCAATTGGAAAATACCGAGGAAAATATGATTTCGAGTATACAACCTTGTGACCGTAATAATATAAATGCCTTCTTTACCGTCATGACGTATAAGCACAGTCACAAACCTAAACCGTATAATTAAAGATCATATATATCCCAATGTACAGTGTGTCCATTTTAGTTCAGACTGCAGTCTATCTCAGCTGTTTTCGCGACCCTGTTTTTTTTGTGAAAGTTTTAATACCACAAATAGAATCGATGTAGCTACGTTTGTTTCTGAGATACATGCGCGGAAGGTCTTAAGTTGTTCTATACTATAATTAGGAAAACTGCAGAAAAACCTAATTCAGAGTAACCGGCAAAATGTTCAAAACTGATCTAAGAAAACTCCCAGCTCTGCCACAGATAAAAAATTTGTACCTCTGCTCAGGTTTGAACACTCGACCTCCAGGTGTGTAGCCCAACGCTCTACCACTGAGCTACAGAGCCGTCTTATATTTTTAAAAATTTTGAAATGACATGTTTCCACCATCAGTGATTTTTAATGATTGGTCTTAGGAGGATAAAATGAACAAAACGAAAGTATCCTTGAATCCATGGCCTATTTAAAAACAGTAAGAAAAATAAGGCTTCATGGCTATAATTAAAAAAATGATAGGTTGTAATACATCAATGTAACCAGCTAAAACGGATAAAAAACAATTGACGTTAAGATATACAGGGTGTTGCATTTAAAAAATACCAACATTAGATTAAATCTCACTAACCTGTGGTCCAAACAATTTTTTTTTACTTAATCACTGGTTGCTACGTAAAAATATCTAAAATAATTTAATGTTTCTCGATTTCCCTAATGCTTGAGCTATCTGCAGCACATTTAGCTACATTTGTAATGATACACATACCTTCAAACTCTTTTTTGTTACAGTAATTCCTATTCGAAAGTCATCGCCTGTGTTACCAGTAAACAACTTCTCGTAATCCTCGGGTTTGGGATTTTTCTTGGGCATTGTAAGCTCGTGACCCGTAAATTCCTCAATGAATCTATTTTTGTTTAATACATTACCCTTATCTTCTGTGATTAAAAGGTCTATTATATAGGAAACGATTTTATATGCGGAATCACGAAAAGGAACAACCACCAGTATCTGCGAACAACTAATGCTAATTATACATTTAATAGCTTTCAAGTTTTGTACCTTTGGACGTACTAGTCCTTGATCTCGAAATTCTTCAGGAACATCCTCCTTCTTGGCCAAGCGGGCATTGTGGTGTAACACTTTCGTCCTTGTTTTTAAAATGTGATTTATTATATGCAAACAGTAAATAAATCGAATTTCCTCTGCATTCTCGAAAGTTCGATGAGGGTAGTAGAAATCCTGATAGTTATTAACCACAGAAAAGATTTCCGCTTGTAAAGGAGAAAAAGGAAATTCTTCGTTAGGTATACGACTCTTATTAGCTTTAGCTAAATTTTCAATCAACTGCAATTTAATGTGCATACTCTCTAATTTACATTTACTGATAGGTATATTTAGGGGTATCCCACCCGAAGCTGCACACATTTTTTTCTCAATTACACCACAATTGACTACAGTCGCATTATTTTGGTGATCCTGTGGTATTTGCACCTGCAATTTTCCAAGTTGTGGCCATTCCAATACATGAGTATCAACCGAAACTGGTGAACTCTGAACGGTATTTAACAAACTTTCACTTAATTCGTAAAATAAATGCCTCGCAAATGGATCTTGCAAGTTGTCATCCTCTTTTTGATTTTCTAAATCGATTTCATCCTTCTCGATGAGATCTCGGCTTATTGTGACATCTTCCACATCTTTTTCTTCACTTTCACTGCAAGTTTCATCAGCGACTACATCGTCGTCACTCATGCTATCTTCGCTGCTGTCAATGGCTAACGATTTCTTAGAAATTGCTTTAGAATCAAACGTTTGTAACAACTGTTCCATGTCATTCTCTTCTTCCGAACTTTCAACCTCATCTTCTTGATCCTCTCTTTCTTTCTCTTCACTTAAGGGCTGTTGATTGCTGGGTTCGTTTTTGTCACTAACTTTACCTGTAGTACCCCCTCGATTGTGATGGAATTTTTTGTTTATATTAAAAGATTTTTTAACTGTCTTTTTGCCTTTTACCCTCTTATTAGGCCTGTGGTGCTGCTTTCCTTTGATTGTACGTTTTTTACCTTGTGGCATTTTTAAATATTCTCAAAATATCATAACACGTACATAATTTAAATTCATATATAATTATTTTGGTATTTATGCATTTTTAAAATCAAACATAACCTAAAAATAGTGACGTGCATGACATGTGGTTTGGATTTGGATATTTGTCACAGTGTTGTCGAATTGCTACGGTAGTGAAAGGCAGGGATTTTAGCAGCACTGTACCCCAGTTTATGAATCCACCTTGACTGTACCATTGGGCACGTTCCGCCAACGCAACTGTTGACTGACACCGTAAACCGAAACGAGCCCATTGTTAGCAAAGTAAACTATTACTGATCCCATCATCTACACCCAAAAACAAAAAAAAAGTTTGATTTTATAAGATCATTGTGCTACATACGAGGTAGCGTAGCGGTAACTGTAGGCTGTGGTAGGTATGCTCATCCTTGTCTGGCACGTTGATTTGTAAAACGCATAAACGCCACGTGAGTGGAACACGATTAGGTATACCTACCTCTACCCATCTCTCTCGTCACGCGGCTCTTGCAACAATTGTTTACCGGCGATATCGTTCTATTTAGGGAGTATTTAGTTCAATGATTAGCAGAAATCACCGAACTATGCATGCTTATGGAACGCGCACATGCGGTATCTGCCATAGAAACGTAGGGCACCGAGAGAGATAGCGCAAGGGGGATTTCTGTCACTGTCACTCATTGGGAAACTGATCAAAATATATCAAATATTTTTTGTGTCATCTTATAAAGACAAGCCCTATAATAGGGGGGATGGCCGTTTCATATCGCGTGGAGAAAACGATTCCATAGTTTTTGTATAGCAAACGTGGGGGGGGGGGGATTAATTAATTTTGTGGAAATCTCCTCAAGCCCTCTTCTAAACTGACCTCTCATCAGCTCTCTCTCACCCTTCCTACACTTTTACGATCATCACACTTTTTCGCTTCAATCCGCCGCAGCTTTAACGGCAGATTCGATAAATTGCGAATTTGAAATGCAATCTCCAATCTCCAGTAATAGCCAACTACAAACTGGAAAAAAAATTAAGGCAAACATTATGCTTTAATTGTTAAGTTTCACATTATTTCGCCATTATCTACACGCATGACATAATCCCTATCCGACATAAGAACAACATATCTAACTAGAAGGCTTTTTTTAAGTATCATAATATAAAATAACTAATATTTTGCGGTATGGTGCCATCATCTAATGAACAATCTTATACTTCTTACTATGGCGAAAATTGTCTGCTTATTTTATTCTTGCTTTGTGGTATCCAAATAATCTTTTTATAAAAATTGGTTCCGTTTGAAATTCATTATAATCTCCATCGAAATTATCAGATTCTTCGGGCAGCCAAGTAGAGTTTTCTTCCGATGGTACTGTAACGTATGAGGCCTCTTCGAAATGTAAAGTTTCGTCTATCGCTCGAGGTGCTTCATTTGAGACATTTTCTGAAAACAGAATGAGATTTACAAAACTGCGACTGAGTCACTGTAGTTTCAGTGGAAGAAATATTTTGGGCAAGTACCTATTTAAAATTATTTAAAAAAATTTTTTTATTTGAATACCACATGCACATATTGTTTGTTTAATTGTAATTTAGTTATATTATATTAGCAATGCCAAAACTAAAAGGGGATATACACACATCGTACAACTTTCAATAAACTGCACATTTGCATCCACAGATGTGCATGTAGCAAATAAATTATAGCCAACTGCCGAGTAGGTACGACTTCGCATAAGTGCAAGTAAAATAAATTAAACAAATATAGCAAACCAGTTCCTGGGTATGGCTATAGCATGTGCAAAATCAAATTTTAAACCTGATGTTAGTTTTGCTTTTATTTAAAGTTCATAACTCACGGAGATGTCAAAAGGGCCTTCCTTATTTTTTGGGCTACATTGCCAATTCACGAACTCCGATCTAGAAATTTGATAAAGAATCCACCTGCAAAATTTCATCGTAATCGGTCCATTCGTTTATGAGTTATCGTGCTAACGGAAGGACGGACGGACGGACAGACACCGCAAAATTATGAACTCGCTAGGAGCTCGTTAATAATAGAAGCTTTATTATTAGGTCGTTTGCTATATGCTATAATTTCGGAATGATAAGAATAAAAATTCTTTATCTATAACTAGGTAATGTTAACATACCATTATCACATTTTGTTGGAATATGGACAACAACAATCCTTGATCTCACGATTTCCTTCTGGTGTCCGTTCCAAATAAACACATAATAAAGTGACAGCATAATAGCTGCGAGAGATACGAAAAAAATATAAGCAACTACCGTAAGCACTCTCACAACCTTTTTTTTGTGTTTTGGTTCGTAAAGTCTATCTTTTGCTTCCTCCCCGGCCAATTTGACATTACCGTCGGTACTAGCCGACTTACCCCAATGGGTACCTTCACAATTAATTTTAAAACTATTATTTAATGGTAACTTGTACGACATTTCCGTCCGTACGGAACGCGTAGGTCTGTTTTAAATATTAGCGGAAACGCCTGGTCTATTCTTACACAGATTTGCGCACTTCGCTTGTACAATTACACTCACATTTTTTTATATTCAATTAGAATTGCTGAAATTTTTCAACTGCACGGCGAATATTTTAAGAATGTAGAGCATACTTGTTTTGAGTTGGCCTGATTTTCCTGAGAAATCAATATAATGTACTGCGCTATTATAAGTGCGCCTGCCAATTTCAATATTTATTTTATTTACGACCTTTATTTTTCTATTATTACATAATTAGCTTCTATTTTTTTTACTATATAACTAGCACCCCCCCCCCGCCCACTCTCGTATTTTCCTCCGTTTTTGTGTTATGTGTTATTTTTAATATAGGTACCTCATAAGTTCTTTAGATAGATCATATTTTAGATAAATCAATGCAGTCGATGGAAATTGAAATTCAATGGGTATCTATTTTTAAATGAACGTAACGTTTCTGCACATCTAGTGAACCAACGTTCCATGAGAACATTTATAAAGCAACAATAAACAACAAACGTTCATATGTGTATTGATTATCATTCAATGGTTCAAAAGGGGGAGATGGGGTGCAACCTAGGGTGTAACACAATAATTTCACTAAAATTAAACAAATAAGCAAAAAAAGGAAAACAAATGATTGAATAATATTTTCACGCAGAGACAAGCATGTCTACCAAAGATATTGGGCGCATTAAGAAGAAAAGAGAGCAAGAAGAAGAAAGGGTATACACGACGTAGAACGAAAGAAAAATCAATGACTCCTTAGAGCAAAGATTTAATAAATTATTAAGATAGAATATTCAACTAATTTTGAATGTATACAGTGCTATGTAGGTATTAAGAAGTAGACATAGGGATTTACGTGTATTGTTTTTCCCTAGTCTACTTGTAAACAACAAAATCCCCCTAAAGGGCGCCTAATTTTATGCATCCAAAATAACATCTTAAAACAAATAAAGATCTGGTTGTCATTCTACTAACCCACGCACAAAGCTAGAAAATTGTTAAATGATGCTTTATTATTACGTCAATTCAGAATATACCGATCTGGCAGGCATCTCGCGGTTGCGTCAACATCTTTTAAATGTTTGAAGTTTGCAATGTATTCATGGCACACCTTCAAAAATCAAAAGTCAAGACACCGATGTCCGAAAACCGTTCGCCGCGTATTTAATGGAGCCTAGATAGAATGCCAGAACTGTTTCGGATCATCCGTTCGGTTTTTCAATATATTAAAAATATGCGTTTTTGGTCTTTCGCTTTACGAGATAGCATTCGAAAGCGAAATTACTAGATTATATCATTGTTGGAACTATCAGCATAATTCGTCTGAATGTTGAATTCACCTTAAATTATTAAGCTTTTTCTGTGCATGAGAAAATTAGTGAAGAAAGATCTGTATTGTAACGTGAGCCCATGAAAGAATTTAATTTAATTTTATATTTGTTGTATGTGGGCGAGTGGTTCTGGATGAAGGTCCGGACCAGTTAAATTAGTGTGAAAGTTTGAGGCGCCTATAAGCCGTGAAAATTGACACGTTTAATTCAGTTTACAGAGAGATTTTTTTTTACATCCACCGTTATCAAGTGTGCTGCGTGGTGTGAGAACCACTAAATTGGCAGTCCACTTTGACTATGATTGACAGCTTAAAAACGGAACTCATTTGCTAGAAAAAATGATATTTGTTGTTGTTGTACGTAGTAGAATAAGTGCGAATTAAAATATAAAAGTAGTGGGAATTAGGTTCTTGGTGGAGAACCGAGGAGAATACGCGTTAAGCCACGATAGCATTCCCGTCGAACGAATTTAAGTCAATTACCAGTAAGGTTGCGCGGGGTGGTTTTATAATTTGTGAAGAATTCAGATTTAATGTTATTGACGCTTATCGTCGGATCACGTATCGTGGTAAAACTTCCAAACTAAAGAAGTAATTGATTTACGAACACCGGATTTATCAACCGTCCTTTCAACAGTTGGGGCCTACAACGTAGGGTCTGTACTGAGAGTTGCACGACTACGAAACATCTCCAGTACTTTACTGTATAAATAAGGTAGGTAACCATATTTTGTACTTTTATATTCCTTTAATAGTGTCTCAAAAACCAAAAACCTCAACCATAATTTTTATATGCAACTACATAAACCCGACGGTATTTTTTATATATTTTATAACACCACTTCATTCATTGTATATATTTTAGCTGCATAACCAATAAAAACGTTCTTTCTCTGAAATTTTATCGATTTAATACCCATTCGAAGAAAATATCATAGAGCAATTCATAAAAAAAATTCAACATAACACTCTTCTCTGTGGTCTATGTAGGTCAAAATATTTTGAACATTGTGTCTGAGCCACTCCGAGGGGTCCACTCTGCCTCAGTGAACGCATACCTTAAGGCAGATGTAAGCATGTAACGCATTCTTTCCGGGAAATATAACGTGTTTGATCCAGAACATTCGGAAGCACTTGAAAACGTTCTCGAAAGATTGTTGTTTGCTATACCAAATTGTGTTTCGAGCCAGTTCCAACTTCGATGCGCTTGTGTTTTGTTGTAAATAGTTAGCGACAAATAATAATTACTGTTATAAATTAATCAATTTTAAGACTGTTATAAATAATAGTTAATTGTAAATAAATAAATCACGTAATTAATTTTACATTACGCTGGTGTCAGGTGTGCAGGCCAGCAAGAAATAAGAGGTACGATTCATGATGAAATATAGTGTCCAAAATGAGGTACTGAAATTGATGAACTATCAAAGCGATTTATGTGATTGAGTGAAGGGCACGAAAAAAGTGATGTGTCGTTTGTGATAACACAAGATCTAATTGCTAGTCCCGAAAAGAAGCCCCTGAACCGTGTGAAATGTTAGTATGACAAAAATTCGAGCGAAGCCACCGACATTCGATAGAAAATCATCGTGGTCTACCTACTTGAGACAGTTCTCCGGAGATTACCATCTAAGGTGCATCATTGAAGCATGAAGATGTGCGATGCACGGTACATGTGGTTGATGGTTGGGAACCGCAAGAAATAAGATGACCATGATTTGCGTTTAGTGATAAACTGGAAAATGGAAGACAAAAGTCCAACCTGAAGGAAGAGGTACATCTCGATACGGTTCAGTTTTAAAGGCGTATTGGGCACAGTGGGAGAAGATGGTCTTCTTAAGAACTTGCAACCACAGCCTAGAAGTGATTACATGAAGTATGATGTGGGCTATACTACCTATACGTCTACTTTAATGAGGACCCCATTCGCGGTTACAAAAACAGAATGAATTAGGTGAAGCAAATTACATTCTTGTAATGGAAAGAGATTACCGGTCAAAACGAAGCGCAAGTAGAAAACCATGACGACTTTTATCACACATAGTTTTTTGTTAAGTACCTTTATAAGTCCTTTCTTTCGGGCATTTGTTTCATACAATAACACATACAATAGCCCTATACTTACTATTACCAGTGTACGTAGTACTTTCCAACTGACTATAAGAGGAATTCTCACTAGCATTTTGTTCGTGAGTGTTTTGCATTTCTTGAATAGTGTTGATTACTAGCGAAGCACTGTCTATTCCATTAAATACTCTGGACCGTTGGAGTTCTTTTGTTGCAATTTTTCTATGATACGATTTATTATCAAATGCATAATGACTTCCTGTTCTTAAATAGCTATTGTAGGATAGCGACGGTTTGCCTTCCCATACAAATATGTAATAAACTGATAAAATAATCGCAGCCAAAGAGACACTTAAGACGTACGCCAGCACCGTAAGACATCTAACTAATTTTGATTGCTGTTTTCGGCCGTAGAAGGTAGACTTCGAAGGTTTTGCAATGATGAGTATGTCGGCTGGTTGAGTACTACTTAATTCGATTTCTTCTTGTTGATTTTGGGACATTGTTTCATTCGAACGGTGGTTCGGATCTAAAAAAAAAGAGGAGTTAGTGATACCACAATTATCTTCCTAAGAGAAAAATGTTTATGCTGTATCCATGCACCTTTTCGTCTACTCATTTTCCTCCAGCACCAAGGCTTGCGTTGATACCTACGCCTTTAAGCTTGAAAACAAAATCTTTATTTGGGAATTTTTTTAACGGGACGCAACTGCGATGGATTGATTTTCGTGTACCACTGCAACACTGGATTGTATAGATGCAGGTATTGCAGTATCGGAGGTAACTTGATGAAGCTATATGTGTTGACAATTGTATCAGGTTATAAGGGATGTAGTTTAGTTTAGTAGAAGTTTAAAGAAATTTTCATTCTATCCTAGCTCGTAGTTAGTTCCAAAAGAAAAAGAATACGTCTACCTTATTCAGAATGCAAAAATCTAACCGAAAAGCATTTCATTGATTATCGTACCAGACACGGCCCTATTTTACTGATCTGATCTGATGATACATATTTTTCTTTGGTAAATCTATAAGTCAAAATTTTGGAATATCTTATTTAAGCGGTTTACAAGAGCGAGCAAAGTGTTTTAGAAAAATTTCCTGAAACCACCACTTTAATTTAATAAGCAAAGAAAACAATGTTAGAAATGTGCGTTAACAATATTACCTTTTTCTGGAAAATCCAGAGTTCTGGATGACTCCGTTGTAATTCGTGATGTGAGCACTCGCACATTGAATGTTCTTGCCGATAGATTGTAGACTAATCTTTATTGAAGGGGAATTAGTTTTATATATCTACTTACAGAAGCGAGTGGACATCGCGGCATCATATTTCGCGGTATAAAAAACACATTACGAAGTTTTCGTAAACCGTTAAACATTGCAGCACATGCGCTCTCCGTTTAATATTTAACTTTTGGTATAAAAATTAGGTACTTATACGAATTACCAATAGCTTTTCTATCCATATCGAAGGTCTTGCGGTTTTCCTGGTATGCGCGAATGGCCCAAGTCCCAAGGGTCTCCTAAAATAGATAGGTTAATACGGAGCGCCGTTGAATGATTTCCATAATTTTTTGCGGTCACGTTTTTATGGCCTCATTGGATTTCGTTAAATATATCGATTATTTAAGAGTATTAATACAGTTTGCATCAAAATTAAAATCGTGTACATCTCGTGACTTGAAATTGGAGGCCCCCCGCAAGATATGACCGAGGTAAAACGATCAGTTTCCATTTACAAAATTAGCTCGCTATTTCTGAATTAATTTAATGGGTTTTATTGAAGTTTATTAGTGGAAATGGCTATTGTTTACTTAATGGGAAAGCTATACGCACTTCACTATCGTTTACTCAATCATACCGGAGCTCAAGCTTATTCAAGCAGAATCGCAAATTCGGCGGTGGTACCCAGAGTAACGAGCTTTCTGTTCAAATTTGGTCTACTTAACTCTTATAATTGGTGTTCGTGTATGTGTATTTTAAACACTTAGGAGTTAGGTACTTATATATTTTGCTACTCGAAGTGTTTGTACCTATAGGTACCTACTTACTTGTACGAGGTTACTTAAAAAATGGGTAAATTGAGAAATGATTGTAATTTTGAGTAACCTCTTCAAAATCCACCCAAAAAGTACGTTTTACAAAAACATCGAGCAGAGCCGGAACCGAGGATCTTAAGCAAATTGCAAATTCCGAATTCAGATATAAGTTTTTAGCGCATTTTCCAACAAGGTTGGGTCCGCTATTGCAGCCACTTTCTCTACAAAATTTTCTTTCTCGAGGCTGCGTAGTTTCCTAACATCAAAAAACCTCATGACGTGCAAATATGTGCTGGACTAGTTTTAACTGTAGCCATTGAATAAAAAGCTACGACTAGTATTGTAGTAAAATTCCATATTACTTATATATGGACGATTCGCCTTAGGTACTCAGAAAAAAGGGAGTTGTTGGTGATGGAAAATATTCTGGAATGCTCAGTGCCAAATAAACATATTTCCGTTTGATAGTGTCATTATTGTAGCAAATTTTCTAGAGCGACATCAAGGCGCAATCAAGTCGCAATAAAGGATTAGTCAGTGGTGATAAGGAATCAAAATCAAAGCGGAATATCTGCTTCATTTACTTTAACCCAAGTTGATATACTATTTAACCGTGAGGAAGCTAAAAGGGTTTAGGGCATTAGAAAAGTAATAATCGCCGTTAGAACTGCAAGTTTATTTCACATGTAAATAGAAATCATAAATACTGCTTTACGTATGTATATTCGGAATGAGGTAAATGAGTCATTGAAACTTGAAACTTTGACATATGCCTGGCGTCGCCGCCTCTCCCGGAATTTAGTCAACTGTCGTGGAGACGCGTCCCTGGTAGGCACTATCAGGGGCGTTTCACCACGACTTTTGTTGCCATCGCACTGGGTAGAGCGACATATGCTACACAATGTGGTGGATTTTGTGGTTGGGGGGGGGGGGGGATTGTGGAGAGGGGCTAACTGAGTGAGTCAGTCAGAGTGAGAGATGTTCTTTTATTTATATTAATTAAAATGTCGCCCCTTTGTCGGCGCTATGGGTTCAATGTGTAGGTGGGCGCATAGAGATCTAACATTGCACAGAAAAAAATGTAATGATTTGTACGGATATTGGTTCGGAGCAACTATTTTATGGGCCTGGCATTGTCCGTCTGTCCGTTGGTTAAGACCTTCACCTTTCATTTTTGTTATCTATACTTTTTAACGCATTTTTGCAAATTTATTTGTAAAAAGTAACTTTGTATCTCACTTTGGCTGGCTGGCTGGCAGCAAATATGGGCGCGTAGAAGAACTCTTGTAGAAAGGGAACGGGTCTACGTGTATCTACAAGGCGGTGTAATTTGTCAACCTTAGCAAAGAATACTTTACTCTTTGACCTTAGGGACAGAGGGCTACATGATGTGGGGTTGGCGACATCTGGGCATCATCCTCGGGCGTAGTTTACTAACGTGAAGGTTTTTCAGTGTTTTCCCATCTTCTACTACAGATTTGGTCCGATTCTTTTCAAATTGGTGTCGTCGGAAAGACATTGTAAACACGCACAACTCCTGCGTGGCGGAATTTTGTTTTTTGTCCTAGGGGTGAAATTAACGAACTTTTGCAAAGCGGCGCGCGCGTCTTCGAGAGGTAGTCAACTTCGGGCGCCTTTTACCTTCCGTTGCGTCGTTGCGAATTTCGTCACGCGGTTTAACGTTTCGTAAATCTCGAATCGCTGATGTCTCTCTTTCTCGTGTCGCCAATAGAAGCTCGAGCAATGAGAAGTGCCCCAAAAACTAAGCACTATCTTGTGGAAGGTTTTTAGCGAAATCCACCAAAATGTGGGTGTAATATAAGTGGAGTGAAAAATATGGTAGCCTTCGACAAGATCTAACTGATGGTGGAGTGAAAACTTCAATCGCGAATTTGGGGTGAACGGGGCGTCGGAGTTGGGTACCAACAAAGGGAATGGGGTAGCCCCCGTAAGGATCCCCCTGATGGTGGAGTCAAATCTTCAAACGCGAATTGCGGGTGAACGGGACGTCGGAAGTGGGTACCGCCAAAGCCGCAAAGGGAATGTGGTAGCCCCGACACGATATTTTATTGATAGTTGAGTCAAAAGTGGCTAATAGAATATTGATCTGCCACACAAGAATGCGTCCCTTCGATCTCACACGAGGACTTTGATAATTTTTTGCTCATTGACTTGTGAAAATACAGAATTTAGTGCAAACGCGTTTTAGTGCATATTCTGCAATGGATTGGATAAGGTCGCTAATGTGGGAACCTGGTTCCTCAATCTGCCCGTTCCCTAAAATATGTTTACTGTTATGGATCCTATTGTAGTAAATCTTGTTCTTATATCTTTTTAATAAACGACAAACACAAAAATTACAAAACTATACCTACTGCTATAATTCTAGGCAATTCTTTTTACCAGGTTTCTTACTACTCCCGAAGTACTAATACTCTGTAATTAAATACATGTATAGATTACCAGTTTTAATATCTTGTGTTAAATTACCTTAGATGCAGCTAGAATAAATGTTATAAACGACTTCTTCGGTGGCCTGCATACCTTTTTTCCATTCTCTTGGCAACACAAATTAGGCAAACAATCAAGAAGTGATTCGCATGCCTTTGGAAACAAATCTAGAAATGGCGGAGGCGATGGTGAACATTGCATGTACCCAGCAAACGTTTTTAACGCTAAGATCGAAAGGGAAGAATTATTAACAAGAAATATATTGGCGTCTACTTACGTAATAAAAGCTGTTTAAGAGCCGGAAGTTTGTGTAAACGAGGCGCGCCATTTCGACAGTAACTTTTAATTTCGCCCGCACTTCTACTATTTGCTTCTTGGCAACAAATTCGGGGTCCACAATCTGCGTCGCTGACGCATTCCTGTACATTTAAAAATTCCGGTGTTGGATAAATTGGACATACCCTATCGATTACCCCTAATACGGCTACATAAGGACATTCAAATTTCAGAACTCGCAATGAATAACGCAAATTAACTTACGACTGTGACTTGGTTCTGGATCGAGGGGAGTAATTCCCCTAATGCAATACGAAGTACAGCACAGCAAATTCGGTCCCCATTGCTGACACTCTTTAGAGGACTTGCAGGGAAGTGCGAAAAACGGTATCCTTTTGTCTTTAGGAGGACAAACAATCTTCTTTTGATCTACTTGAGAGACTGTTGTTCTTCGGGATGTCGAAGTTGATGGTGAAATGGTTGTAACCACATCTTTAACAACAGAGTAAGTACATAATTATGCAATGATTGGTTTTACATAATATTGGCATGTGTGTAACGAGAAAATATAAATTGAGGGTACTTACTCAACCGAGTAGTATCGTTAGATGCGATGCCTTGTGAATGTGAACTGCTATAAATTGTAGAAAATGTTAAAACAATATAAACTATTTGGCGAATTATTTGGTCCATTATTCAACCATGCCAGAAACTACACTACACACTCTCCCTCTTTAATTAATAAGTGGATTCCCGAGAAATTTACCTACACAACTTTCAGATCTTGCAAACTTGCACCTCGCAAAAAATGAGGAAGTGAATTCGTTGAATGTATGATTGGAGGCGATTTGTATAGTGGTGTTAGTGCAATTAAATTAAGTACCTAAACGTATAGATCTTTGATTATAATCAAGATTAGGCCTCTAATTTTGAACTAAAAACCATTTAATGAGATCGCACTACAATATGTAGAGAAGGTGCCAGAATATGCTAGGCATGTAGGTACCTAAATAAATATCGAAAGTTATAATGCGCTATTGATGGTAGTATGTTGTGTATATAATATAAATTACTTTCACTCATCTCGAAATAAGCAATGGCTTAGAGGTTCTGGTTTTACCAGATTACGAACCAGATTTCGATTTCGACAGTTGCACTTGCGGATTTCCACTTGGCAAATTATAGGTTTATATACATGGTACTTTATGATTTCATTTAAATTACCCACAACCTACTTAGACCGAAAACTGTTGTCTTTGTAGGTAGGTATAGACATTTCTACGCCATTGTATGTTTCTTAGGCGTTTAAGTTAAATATTCCATTTTTAGGGGATAGGTTGACTGCCACCATTAAAACAGAAAAAATGTTCCCTGGCGCCAAGGGTGAATTAAAGCGTCTGATAGTGAAATAAATGCAGCCTTGCTTGACATTTACCCTAATTTTTGAAATTAGTACTATTTTTTTTAAAATTAAGTGAGCGGTCGTATGCGACCGCCCGGGCAAGGAAGGCATAAGTAATCCACTTTTGCCAAGCGGTCGTGTCGGCGGTCGTCCTTAATGCAATGACAAATGGTTAGAAAGTATTGCAAAGGGTGCTATGGAAAAAAGATTCGGGGCGAAATACTTAAAACACGAGTAAAAAAAGTCGTAACGTATTGTAATGAATGCGAAGATCAACCACATATGTGTTTGGACTGTTTCAATGCAGCACATTGAATACAAATACGCTCATTATTTTATTTAAACAAGGATGTTTTCTTATTTTTTTCATCAATTTATTTTGTAAATTGTTTGATTTTTCATTTTTTGTAATAAAAACTTTGACATTAATTTTTATGGTTACTATAAAAGCTATCAAAAAATTGGTGCTACCTTGACAGTCAGCCATGCCACAGCGGCGGTAAGTCACACAACAATCCATTTCAAGTAAGACCGCTGGCATGTGAAAAATGACTATATACTATTAGGTCCCAGCGGGCGTATACGACTGCCGCGGCATACCAGGATAATTTGTTAGCGGGCGTACACGACCACTCTGGCAGTCAACCTGTTAAGCAAAATATACGATTTTATGACTACCTATGTTCGAGGAAAATATAAGTTTACCTCAAAACATTTTTTGTCGGCATTTAAAAAGCGTATGGGCATTCCAAAATAGTCAAGTAGTCCAAGCTATATAATATTTTTTTACAAAAAAAATTAGTTACCGGGCGAAACCGGGTTTTTCAGGCAGGTGAAATGAATAGAAATTGGGGTTTTGCCGCTTTTCTTAAAATTTTTCTATTGGAATAATATTTTTTATTTTTGATTATTAAAATGTAAGTCGTTACGAAAATTTTGCTACCCCGCGCACCTCTGTACGATGAAAAAAAATAGATTTTTCATTCCCTTGAAAAAGAGGTGATTTTTTTCAGAAATCGTGAGATCTTGGAAACGGTTCAACTTTACGGGCCCAAAATCATAAAACAAGGTATGTTCCCTCCAAATTTCAAACCCCTACGACGTTTTTTCGCAAAAATAAGAATAAAAACGAAAAAAACAGTTTTTCCGGTTTTTCTAGGAAAATTGAAGGTTATGTGAAAATAGTGCAGATACAAAAGTTATTCATTTTTTTAATCTCTATAACTTTTACATTTAACATTTTCGTCTTAAATTAATAGTTTTGCCACAATTTGCAAAACACCACCTTCCACCCCTTTCAACCCCCGTAATTTCACCCGCGGAAAAATTCAGCTGTTTTAATTATTTTTCCCCAATTTCTATTCATTTCACCTACCTGAAAAACCCGGTTTCACCCGGTAACTAATTTTTTTTGAAAATAAATTATTTTAGAGCTATTTAGGAAGTTATCTAGGAAGTGACATTTTAACACAACTAAAAATTGGTTTTCAATAAATTGCAGAATTAAATGCTTTTGTAACTTGGAAAAGCGGTACCTCGAAAATATGACTCAAAATTGTGGTTCAGGCAATGCATTAGTAAGAACGAAATTTCGATAGGTACCTCATTATATGAACAAAATAATTTTAACAAACTGCGTTCAAAATGCTATTAGAAAGGGCTGCGGTTGCTAGTGGACTGTGGAGATTGTAACGGCAGCATTAATTCGCCTTCAAAATTTTTTCGAAATTTCATCGTGAATTTTAACGATTAAAAATCATCAAAGGATTTGGGTTGTGAAAAGATAGAGGTTAGAAATTATTTCGCCCATGAATCATATCGTAGTGGAATTTCAATAAGTAAATTTGTCGACCATGGTGTAAATACACTGTGCGTCTCTATTTCCCATATTTCAATACAATAGGAACTTGACTCCCTCTTTTTTCTGAACTATTAACATCAAGTACGGGGAGGGAGAGGGGGGAAGGGGTAGTTTTGGAAAATATTTTTGAAAAGATTCACGTATTACCCACGAGCGCGACCACAGTTGGTCCATAGATAACAAATTATGGGATTCGCAATCACTGTGTGGTCCATTGATCCATATAACAAATTAAAATTCCGTTTCACGGCATTCGAAGCGACGAGAACGTGGTCCACATAAAGAATTAATCGCGTTTTTAATCGCAAAATAGATAGCAACATTAATTTTGTAGAGAGAAAATGTTTAAGGGTATTTTTAAATAATAAAACCTGTATCCTGTACGTAGTGTAAATTCAAATCGTTTCATCAATTAATTTTTTATTAATATTGTTGTGTAAACAACTTCATTAGACGTTATTTCGAAAATAATGACAAGACATCCTGTATATGATAAGGTTTATTAAGTAAATCTGAGGGATTATTTACGAAATAAACACAAAGTTGGTTCGTTTCATTTGAATTTATATCTCTGTGTTATTTATCCTTTTAGAAAATTTGTTAATGCATAATTCTTGTTTAAATTTTGTCGCAATTGTAATTTATTCAACTCAGATAAGGTGTTAGAAGTGAGACACATCTGGTCGTTTGCGATAAGGAGTTTTATCAGGCGAAAATTAATTAGCGAACGTGTTTTATGGCTGTTAAGTAAGGTGTTTCGAAGAATTGCGTGTTTTACATTTGTCGCGTTCCGTCGTTGATTGGTGGTTGATATAAAAATTCATAAACGAGCCTATTTGATGGTGGAAGTGTCGCTATAAGTCTATAAGTAAACAAATAAAACAAACTATACATTCTTGCAATATAAGTAATAGAAGGGTAAATACAGTGCACTTAATTTTATAAATGAAACATAAACATCAACATCGCAAACAAATAGTCAGACCGGACTACTAACTCCATAGGACCTACAAACTTAATCCGAACACAGCAATATTCACTGCGGAAGCAATTGCAGTATATGAAGCTTTAAAGTATTGTCATAACTGTGAAATAAAAAATGCTGTAATAATGTCAGATTCGATGAGTGTCCTGAAGAGCCTACAGAAAAAATATTGCCCACATTCATATGACCCGATCATTTCAAAAATATACGCGTGTTTTACACAGTTGATTGCTCAAAAATATAAAATTAAATTTTACTGGGTGAAATCGCATGTTAGTATAGATCAAAATGAAAAAGTGGATAGACTGGCAAAGCAGGCAATCGAAAGTGGTACGATATACAGTAATAGAATCACCGCAAGAGATGCATTAGCATATTACAAAAAACAAATACTAAATGATCTATGGCAAGAACGGTGGGAAAACTCATACAAGGAAAAAAGTACACAGTATGCAAATATTCACCCATACTTACTTAAGGAACACTGGTCCAACAACTATACAGTTAGTAGACAGTATTCTACTACGATAACAAGATTAAAATTTGGACAAGGACAATTTCCAGCTCATCTATTTAGAATTGGAATATTGGAATCACCAAACTGTACGTGTGGAGATGAAATAGGCGATTTGAACCACATCTTTTTTAATTGCAGAAACCACATCGAATTAACCAATATGATAATTCGAAGTATAATCCGATTAAAAGTCCCATTACCTACAAATATAGAAACATTATTATCTACTGACAACAAAAAGATTTACGATCTACTTATTGAAATGCTTATAGCCACCAAGACTACAATATAATTACATTGTAAAATAAATAGTCAAAGTCCTAATTCATTTGTTCCCTTATTGTTACAACCGTGGTCACCCTTGTTGTGTTTAATAGTCTCCATGAAAGACCGCATGGAGTGAAGCGAGTGAACCCTGTGAATTAATCCAACAGTTTAGATGAAATAGGTATATACTTCTCTGCGGCCAAATGGGCATAGATCCCAATAGGGCTGAAAAAAAAAAAAAAAAAACTCCAAAATCGCAACGCAATGGTGTTGATTCAACAGGAATCACACACTCGCAGACCGACAGGCGGCAGACGAGTAGAATTTCAGCGCTCATTAGGTGGTAACATTTCATTTTGAAAGCAAGATCTCTACGAAAGTTTTTATTTGTGATTTTGTCATATTTAAAAATTAAGGTGTTATTAGGTGCTTAAAAAGGAATCGTTTGACCTATTTGAAAAGTATTAAATTGAAATTTATTGTGCTGCCGGAGTTATAGTCGCGCCTGCCGGGGGCCGGAGAGCACGATGTAAAACCTGAGACTCCGGCTGAATGCCTGTGTCATCTGGCGTCCCTGCCTGGAACTCTAGAAAAACGAACTCGACATTTCGATTGAACACGACTTATATTCCGTTATCTTCAAGGCACTGCCGACTATGGAATAATTTTCAAACCACAGTATAAAAGTGGTTATATAGAAAGCTACAGTGATACAAATCACGGAACAGACGAAACCACCAGGCGGTCAACTACAACTACAGGAGTCGTAGTCGTATGCTTGTATTCAGGCGGAGCGGTGTCATGGATGAGTCAAAAACAGTCTTCAGTTGCAATATCTACGGCTGCTGAAGCAGAAATTGTAGCTGCTAGAGAGGCGGCTCGAGGCTCGAGAACTATGCAGTGCAGACATAGTCGACCTAAAAGAGATACCTCACCTGATGGTTGATGATGAAGCAGTAATCAGGTGGACTCAGAATCCTGAGTACCATCGAAGAATGAAACATATCAGGCCTTTTTTCGCCAGAGAACTCGTTATGGAAGGTTCTACTCTTTGGTTCTACTAGGATAGCATCTGAATTCCAGATAGCTGATATTATGACCATGATACTACAACTAGTATCATGTATTATGACGAAACCATTATTCAAGCCAAGACTTCTAACATTGCGTGATAATATGGGTTTACTTGAGCAAACAAATTATTCAATAAGGGAAGGTATTGAAATCAAGAATGCTGTCATTACATTTTCATTAATTTATAGCGTACTTACCTACCTATACTGTGGGTATGTTCAATACACTATGGTAATGTTTAATCAATTAAAAATATCGTTTTTACTGTCATAAAATTATGTCCAGTTTTTCTAGCGAATATCCTTTTTACTATTTCTCAGACACATTAAATCCACCACTGAGTATAAATCTCAACGCATTTTTCCCAAAAATCATCTTTTTTAATATAAAATTTCAATTTTCATGTTGAACTTTTGATTAATATCAATTTGCCAGTGATGACAAGAGTCATTGCCCATTGGACATTACCAGTGTGTAGGTGGCAGGAAACGGAGCCTGTACAGGGTAGCAGGTACTCAGGTGAAGTGTTGCGAGTACGCCACTGACTCACAAGGACTACTCCAAGGACGTTTATAAACGTCGTCGTCGATCAACTTCGGAATATTCGTCAGCTGATGTATATGTATGTTGTTGTAATGTCAAATTTTGCAATCAGTATTTATATTTATGATAGCTTATATCACACTAATTACCGGGATTAATCAATGTACAATTAAACGAAAAGAATGGTCAGCTTATCAAGAAGTGCAAACATGAATGCCGGGGTAACTGTCCTTAGTCTTATTTCTTAAATTAACTAATATAACCCCATCTCGGCAACAAATTTAATTAAACCATTTTCATTTTTGTAGGGCGCAACGTTTTTTAGCGAATCTACAAACGTTGAAGATAGAGAATATTTGCAACCTATTCTCGAATCCTATGGCATATTCAAACCTTTAAATACTATTATTCCGTTTAGTATTCACTTACTCGCTATATTTACCTTAGAAGTTATGGCGATAGTTTTTGCAGCAATTCATCTTAACAAAGATTATCAATGCCGCGAATATTTTGTACTAATATATGCACACGTTGGCTTGTGGTTTTTGACATTGGTAAGTAGAAGTCCCATGAATGAGCTCGCATCATGTGCACTGTGTTGAAGGTGGTTGATCAGATAGCACGAGTGAAGCATTACAACTTACGTATGAACGGGTATTTGGAATTTTATAAAAAAATTCAAATGCACCATCAGTTACCCATATACATTGTTAGTATGTGGACCACTGCGATCTTGTTAATACAAACAGTAATGCAACATTATTATCCTGATGACTTTTTGGAGAGATGTGTTAAAGGAGGATTGTTGTCTCCGATTTCTTACATATGTGCTGTACTTTCAATGGAGTTTTTGGTTATTGTAGTCGTATCTGCAAGTTATATACGTAAGAGTTTGCTAAATTTGTTCCCAAAACATGACTAAATCTTTTATTAAGGTCGAGTACGAAAATTTAATCATCAAAAACCTCTACCGGATGTACAAAAAGAAGAATGGAATGCGTGTTCGTCATCGGAAACGTTTGCTCAGGGTGAAATAGGGTACAGGCAGCTAGGCGATAAAGTGTACGATTTTATAGAAAAACAAGTAAGCTGAAATAGCACTCTGTTAGGATCTCATTAAGAAATTTTAGGCTGATTTGATAAGACATCTAAAAGACCATAATGCACGTCTTGGAGAAAAGCTAATGGTAGTAAATGCACAGTTGCAAGGTCGAAGTAGAGCTATTCCCGAGATTTAAAGTGTTAGCAGTGATATAGCTTAGAAGTTATAACATGTGATATTATTAATCATAGATGCTGTTTTAATTTTTGATTCTTTTTTGATAATTATCATTGCTAAATTATATATCTAGCTGTTGTTATCCTCTATTTATGTACCTAGCTGTTATTAACATAAGAACTAAGAATTATTTTGTATTGTTTTCTATAATAAATGTTGAATCTAATTGGTCTCAAGAGTGGACATATGTAAGCATGGTATTCAGTTGTACTTTTATTAAATTAATAGTTTAAAACGAAACCTGATTTACTCGGGAACCATAAGCAAATTTGCAGAAGCTATAAAACAGGGTTGCCGTACATGTAGGTGACTACTGCAATAGAGAGAGCCTGTGTAAAGCATATTGATTAATAATCAGAATCATCGCCATTCCCACAATCATAAGTAGTAATGTAAGTACCTAATACAGGTGGGTCCCAAAGGTAACCCCAAATAAATTTGTATCTTTTTTCCTGTTGTTTTTTCAGAAAAATACAAAAACACTTCGAATAATATACAAAAACTGTTGTTTGTGACAAGGTAAGAAGCCGCTTTCTTACGCCATTGTCGCCAATAGAGTAGTGTGTTCATACGAATTTCAAACAATTTAAACCTTTCGAAAAATCTAGGAGGCATTATATTTCACAGAAAAAATGATTCACATTCGTTTTCATTCCTTATCGCCGGTTCCTAATCCTTTATCGACTTGATATATGTCGCTCTAGAAAATTCGCTACATTATACGATCTCATGAATTATATATGTATATAGGGGCCAAATTGTGCTTGAAGGCACGTATTCTCAATTTGCATACCTCTCTCTTGTCCATATGGTGAGTATAATGTTGGAACCCAAAAGAACTTCGACGTTTTAGGGTAATTTTTCTGTTTTCCAAAACGAGCGAATTCGCCGCGATTCTTTCGCGCAAGTAGGCGTCCCCTAGTCTCCACTCGCGCGATTCTGGCTAATTGTGGACACGATGTATTGGCGCCTAGTATCTCTCAAACGTATTAATTCGCGCGAAACGATTCGCTCGCTTTTGGACACAAGATCTTAAAACGATATTTAAAATCGCCCCTCCCACCCTTCCACTTGCAAATCCGACTAATTTATATAAAGAACACAAATCAAGAGCTGAAAAACGACAAATGGTCTTTATACTTTCCAAACGTCTTATACTCCTACTGATAAGAAGTTGTGGGCAATTTGCTAATTATGTTTCGAAGACCGCATTTCTGCCCAATGAAAGAGATAAAATCTGGCTCATTGGCAATGAAATTATAACATCTGTGAGCTTCACATCAGTATAAAAGCCACACTGTTGAATATGCTTACAAATTACACCCTCATTATGCCAATGGAGTACCGTCAACCACTTTCCTAAGGTGGTGATGGAGGACACACCAATCTTATACTCCTCACTGGAACAGCATAAAGCCAGTGCAAATAACATCCTGTTCAATATTTATGAAACCTGGCAAGGCCAATTCACTCAAAGTAGGTATTATTGTTCTCTCCAGATATAGCTGAAACACAATGAAGGAAAATCTTTCTCTGAAATGGTCTATGATCTGGCTTCATTGCAACAGTCAGGCCTTCTAAAACATGCCCAAGACAGACAGTATATACAACAGCCCTGTTAATTTAGAAGAGGGAACCACCCAAAATAACATATTACTTTCAAAAGAGGAAGAAGACAATCCAGACAGTGATCCTGTGAAGTAAAGCACTTACACCTATGTAGCGACATTGAACAAAAATGAAAGTTGTAGGATGAAAGAAGTTATGAGTTTTTTGGAATTTCTTTATATATACAATTTTCAAATTTACCTTCTCAATGGTTATTTTACTAGGTCATCCAGTTGATTGGAATCTACTCTGAACACTCTTTAATTACTACTGCACATTGTATAAATGTTCAAATTACAAATTATAAGCGAAAAAAGTTTGTAAAGATCACAGTGTCATTGCAAATTTACAGCTTTTATGGCCGTTTGTGCTGACAAATTTAAGCAGTGCTTAGCTTAAAATCCATGACAGCCATTGTTGCAATAATCGTTGCCATGGATTTTAAGCTATAAATTTGTGGGTGCAAACGGCCATCAAGCAGATAATTTTTAACCCTATTGTGCGCTTGAATCTAGTTTTTCTGCATAAATGACATTCGTTGAGATAGTCGAACTTGTCTATGATTACCTTCATTTTTGTAAAATATCTACTTACATACAAACAAGTGTTAAAGTTTTATTTTTTTATTATTGAATGGTATGACAATAACGTTAACTTATAATAAGTCCATTGCGCTAAGCAATCCCTGATTGGTGCTTAATCCAACTACAAGAAAAATGCGTTTAATCAATAACATAGTACCCAACATTAATCGTACCTTTTTGAAGCCAATATCATTTGCGTACTCTCTGAAGCACTGCCTGCATAAGTTTAACCCATATTTTCGGATTAATCCATGACGATTTGAACAAGAACGGCTGCAAGACAATATAAATAGGTTAGATTTAAAATTCGGGGCGCTCTCAATTAGCTTGGAGGAAGCCCACGTGTTAGTTAACAAAATGATAAGGTTAGGTTATACGAATAAGGGGTTTCAGTTGAAAATAAAATTTACAAAAGCAAAATTAAGACTTTTACCAGGATCTTGATCCTTGTCCGTATTTGCGAGGATGAGAATACCAGATATTTTGGAAACCCATTTTCTTTTCACAGCAGAAAATACAAAAAGGAACTTGTCAAAAGTAAAAGGATGGCGGATTTGTGGGGGGTTAATACCAACCTAATAGCAGAATATCTCCCGACGGAAAGCAAATTTGGCGGCATTCCACAATGCATCCAATTTAAACGATTCATTTGGATATGGGCACATTAAGGGCCAGTTGTACAATGTCAGTTAAAACTTAAGTTTGTAGATTAAACTGTAGATTTTAGGTTTCTGCTGTTGTACAATCAACGGTAATAGAGAAATCTGCAGTTAAATCTTTACTGGCACCTTACCTTACGGTAAAACCTTAGAGAATTCATAGTCTAAGGGTAAAACATAGAAAACTGCAGTTTGACAAAAAAACGACACACGCACGAACATTGTTTACATTTTGTGTAAGGTTATGTTAATTGGTAACTACAACTACTGAATATCAAGTGAATATGAATGAAATATTTGATATATTTGAGGAATTAATGTCGGATGATGAGGAAATAATTAATTTTGTTGAAAGACCCCGTCGCCGTAAACAGTTTAGACAACGAAAAAATCATTTTGAAGAATGGGACGACGAGGCCTTTTTGGACAGGTTTCGACTGTCCAAGGATTGTATTTTGGCAATCTTAGAACAAATTGAAGAACAAATATCTTATTTAACAGACAGGTAGAAGTTTGTTCTGAGAATTTCTGAGTTATATGAATCTTTCGATGTTACAGAAATGAAGCGGTTGATGCTCTAACGCAACTACTGTTAACACTCCGTTTTTATGCCTCTGGTTCTATGATAATTGTAGCAGGTGATTTTGGAGGTATACACAAGTCAACTGCCTCCAGGATTATTGCACGAGTTACAAGAGCAATAGCCTCATTGGCGCAACATTATATTAAAATGCCTTCGACTGACGAAGAGAAAGCTCAAACAACAAGAAAATTCTATAATGTTTCCCGGTTTCCCAAAGTGATTGGGGCTATAGATTGTACACATGTTCGAATCCAATCTCCAGGTGACTACTATATCTATTGCCGCTTTCAACATGCACTCCATAATTCATTTGTAGGTGGTGATGATGCCGAACGTTACCGGAATCGTAAAGGATATTTTTCGATTAATGTTCAAACTGTATGTGATGCAGAGCTGAGAATACAAAACATAGTAGCTCGATGGCCCGGATCAGTTCATGATTCTACTATCTTCGGAAATAGTAGGTTGAAGGCGCTAATGGAAACCGATTATCAAGATTATTTTCTCGTGGGAGATTCTGGGTACCCTGTGGAAAATTATCTTATGACTCCGTTGTTAAACCCAAATACACCTGCACAGCATTTGTATAATGAGGCTCAAATTAGAACGAGAAACGTAGTCGAGCGTTCATACGGTGTTTGGAAACGACGCTTTGCAGTTTTATCACTTGGACTGCGTGTAAAGCTGACAACAACATTAAATATAATTGTAGCAACTGCGGTGCTGCATAATATTGCAATCAACATGAAGGTTATTAATCCACCTCCTGTTGAAGTAAATATAGAAAATGTGGAATGGGATGTGGCGGTTTACGAAGAGAGACATGGAAGAGATAATGTTCGAACAAACTTAATCGACAATTATTTTTCGCATTTATTGTAATTGTTGTACAAGAAAACTTAAATAAAAAATTAACATTCATTTTAATACTGTAAGATTCTATTCGGTATTTAAAATATTCAAAAGATTTTCTTTATTTAACATTTTAATTTGTAATTGCAAGTATTTTGCCCGTAATTGATGTTCAGTTTCGTTATGTTTTATCTTCTGAAGGTGCTCCTCATGCTGTAACTTAATTTGTTGAGTTTGAGCCTGAATTTGTAGGTTAATTAATTCTAATCGAGCATGTGAAAGAGCAAATCTTCTCTCGACAATCATTTGTTAAATCGTTTTTCCCTTTTTTTGCTGTTCTGACATCTGAAATAACAGGTGTGGGATTAGGATTACCCATAAATTTTCTATAATGTTTACTCACTTGTTATGCATTTTCGTTTTACTGCAATCGGAGTGGTGGTTGTAACTGGAACACTTGGTTTACCTGTGTCACTCTGATCATTAGAGGCCATTGGGACTACATCACTTAATTCGGTGTCATTCATGTTATTATCATCAGCTTTCAATTTCATTCAATTCATCTGAAGAAACTACAGTGCAATGTACTGTGTTATCTTGTGCAACAGTAAGAACTGGAGTCTTTATGGTTTTCAGTTTGTCTGGAGTCCAGCCGGACCATTTCATCGATTCAACTGTCTCATCAGCACCATCATTAACTACACTTTATTCCGTATAACTTCCGTTGCACGTCATCATTTTCTGTGACGTAATTACTATGCAATAATGCCAAATCTAGTTTTGAGCGATTTAGGTTATGTCACTTGTCAACAAGACAGTGCATTCTTTGTGTGAACAATCCACACCTTAAATAAAATAAAAATAATTTTTATTATTCATTTCGTTAATTGGAACCACAATATACATACAATATACTTTAATAACTTATGAACTGTACAAATGTAACATCTCTTTTACAGAGAAAGTACTAAATATAAAATTTTACAGGTTATGTGATGTGATGGATGATATTCAAATTAATCGGAATCATCGGAACTGCTTTCGTGTTCAAAGTTTATAATAATAGTAGCAACGTTTTCAAGATCTAATTGCTTTTCTCTTTCGTACCACTTGTGTATTACAGTTTCCGTATCCTTAACTGAATTGCGCCACGTTTCGGAAGTTATCGTTGTAGTGTTTCTGTTTATGCAATTTCAATGCTTCGTCCATCTCTACCCATGTGTCGATTGTAGTAATTTTTCGCTATGCCCCAAATATGTTCGATAGGATTAAAAACGCGATGATAGGGTGGTAATCGTAAAACGAAGTAACCGTAATGCTCGGCTAAGTGGTCAATGCGTTATGCGGTACATTTTAGCTGATTTATTCCTAAAAGTATCAACAAGATTTAGATAATACCAAATAATTTGCGAACGTACTTACTGTGCAACCTTTTCAACAGTTCGGCTTTAAAATCATTTTCGGAGAACTGCACATTATGATCACCTAACCACACTTTAATGTTGTCTGTTTGCCCGTTATCGAACACAATTACTGACGGGTTATCTAAATTCTTCAGTAATTTCTCTTCAAACCAATGCACAGCGAAAGACGTAGAAAATAATCAAAATCAGATCAAACGAAAAGTAAACCAAAAGCAACCTGTCAAATTTACAAATTTAAACGCGACAACATAGCGAAATGCTACCAATTGTTGCGGCCAAAATAAACTACAAGCTTAATGTGTTGCCTAATAAACGAAAGTAAGTTTACGTTGGTACGTAGTTTTCTTCAGGTAATGACGTGCAACGGAAGATATACTGAATAGACCGTACTTCGATTACATCACTATCAAACTGATTAATTAGCCCTTCTAAACTAATTCCAATAATTTCTTTTATTTTTTGATCTGTTTCAGTTATTAATACCGGTTTATCGACACCTCCACCCGTTTTATATACATTTCGCTTTTCGGTTGCAAATTTTTTTTTTGCATTTTTTTTTAGATTCTCATATTTACCTTTAATATTTTTACAACTTCTATATACATCATTATTGGCATTAAATTCGTTAGTAATTTCCTCCCATGTGGTTTGTTTTTGTTTCCATGTAATTGCGTCTGTTTTTTTATTTTCTATAATGACCTTATATTTATTAACTAAGGTCATTAACAGTTGTACTTCTTGTTCTTTAAATTTTCCATACTTATATTCACATTCCATTTTCAAGCAAGAGAAACAACTCGGTTTCATACACCATTCATAAACATAACCTCCAATCTGATTGCTAAAATTAACATACATGAAGTTGCAGACATACCTAGGGCGTTCAGAAAATTTGTTAAAATTAAACTTCACTGTAAATGAACTTGTACAACACAACAAATGTTAACTGAAGTTAAAACTGAAGATTATGGTTTGTTTCAATCTGCAGTTTAAACCTACATTGTACAACTGGCCCTTTTAAAAAGGTAAGTAAAAGTGCATGACAATAAATAAACAATGGCATGACTAAAAGAAGTAATATACTAACCTTGATAATTGTGTACGGCTCCGGCTGTTGTTACTCAAAAAACTACAATATTTCAATTTAATTCTTCGACGTCGCTACTTATTGACTTTCCCTTGTATTTGAAGTTCATAAACAAAACAATTGTAAATTTTGGGTTATGTGTATGTATATTACAAATTCTGGAATGTATAGAAATACCTACAGGCAGAAGACAAATCACAGTAAATTGAGAAGGTGCAATAAGTGAAAATGGACGATAGTGAGCAGTTTACAAAGTTTCGTAATGAGGATAACACAAAAGTATTTCGTGTTGCAACCGAATGGAACGATCCCTCTTTTAAACTCTCTGTACTTGTCCAGTCATCGGCCTGGATTGCCACAGTATTTATATGTTCTTCCTCCATTTATTATAGCGCTATTTTTGTAGATAACGGAAAACCATATTAATGATTTGGCTGAACAGCACGAAATTGGGCCAAATGTTTACTTTGGCAATCTGAAGAGGTACTTTTGTCATGACCAGTCGAATATTACCGTCGATGTCAAAGATAAACAGTTTATTTTATATCGCAGCACTTCAAATGAAAAATTACGCATTAAATACTTTTTTGTAAATTTAGAAAAGGTTTGTGACTGTGGTAATTATTGTACTTATATTAAACTGTATTGTCGTAGATATCATATGAAAATGCGGTTGGATTATTTATAGACAGTTTAGTAGCGAAATATAATGGAGCCTTGAGTTGCATAGATACAATGCAAGCTGAGAAAATTGAAGCGATAACACGTAAATAGGTATCATCGGAAACAATTGGTGTTTTAAATGTGAATTGCAGAGAAGCTTCTGCTAGAGAAACGATGTGAGGAGTTTGCGGAATTAAAACGTAAATCTGACCTTCAGATGTATAGCGCATTTACTTTGGTATTAAATGAAAAGAAACATCGTATTCGATTTCTAACAGAATTATTAGACTGTCCGAATAAGAAAGTCGTTGTAACAAATAAAAATGAAGAATTAAGGGGTAACAGTAAATTTGTTAACGGTAGAAAACAAGAGGTGTTATCAGACTCAGAGTCAAATAAAAGCGTGGAATATAACACAGATGATGAAAAACCACCATTACCAAACGATTTTGAATGTAAACCTAGTACTTCAAAAGGTGATTACGATTTTTTGGGTGGCGATTCTCCTCCTCCTTTACTACCTAAACGAGTAAAAATCGACCCAAGTATTGCACAAGATGTAAATAAAATAGTAAGTCATCATGCGGCGCCAAAAGTTAAAACCACACCAGTAGAAGCAGAGACTACTCCTATGTCGGATGATGACGAATCTAATTTCAACACTCAAGAACTTCTGGATAGAATGTGATACTTTTTTATTGATATGTGGCAGTTTAAGAGAAATTTGAATTGTAAAATAGAATTGTACATATACAAAGTTCTCACAAAAATGATATATTGATTCATTCATATTGGTTCATATGTTATTTAGAAGTTCACAAAACCTTCCGAACAGGAACAGCACTATTGTATATATTTAAACAAGCATGATTTACACTACTTGCATGAATTCAACAATTACACCGATAAGTGTGAAGTTGGAAGTGATGTTAGAATTTGAACTCATTTCTTTTTACCGACTAACTCAACTTTTGACCTACTACGAATGGTACTCAGAACCAATTCCTATGAATCTTGAACTGGTATTTGAGGACTCAAATGCCCTGCTGTTTACAGAACCAACCTTGATTCAAGACCGACTTCTGGCCCCATCTGACTGCTGATGCCTTCTTCCTTTGAGAGTAATCCAGTAAGCAAACAATGATAAGTGAAAAGAAATTACCTTACAGCACAGCTTGTGGTAAATTCGAACTTCATTTATCAATGGCTATAGAGTTATGTCACTTTTGCACAAAAAGCGTTGCACATTTTAATTGTAACTTAACAAAGGTATTACTTTGTATATACAAAAGTGATTCCTACAATAATCCACTTGCAGGGTGGTTTAACCATTGAAATGTCATTTGATATTATATCTGCAATACTCTCTGAAATATAAATGTTTAAAACTCGACGATTCTTCTGTAATAACCCTGTATGTTGTTTGTAATAAGAATAAAACGTCAGCTACCACAAAAGCACCCTATATAAAGAAGTAGTAGGTACAATAACCACTATCAGTCACATTCACGATTGTTTGCAAAATATTAACCTAACCTAAAATAAATCACATGTACCTATTGGAAAGTTCAATTTTAACTCCGCTTAGAAGGATTTAAAATGGATTCTGTTAATGACGATAAACCGAGAATAATTTTAAATGAATTCAAAATAGCACAGGTAACAGCTACAGAAGCTAATGACTTACACAAATGAATTGCTATTGCAGAATATACCAACTCGAGCGACCGTACTTGATCAAACATTCCACATAAAAACATTCAAAGAAAATCTCCGCATTGTAGTTGTTCGTCTGGATAACTTAGAAATGGAGTTCGACTTAATCGGAATACATCCTTTTATAGCTAATACCTTTCGACGATTAATGTTAAGTGACGTTCCGAGTATGGCAATTGAAAAAGTTCATATTTATAATAATACGTCGATTATTCAAGACGAGGTGTTGGCGCATAGGCTGGGATTGATTCCACTCAAAGCAGATGCACGACTGTTCAATACGCATGTTCCAGGTTGATGAAATATTTTAGAAAAAAGTATTAACAGCAAATATTTTTTTGTAGATAGTGAAGAGAATGAGCAGGACAGTTTAGAGTTTGAATTAAAAATCAAGTGTACTCGAATTAAGGACGACAATAAGGATTCATCACGGATCGACGATATTTATAAGAATCACAGTGGTATGTGTATCACTTATTGACCCATTTTTTTTAATAAACAAATTTTTAGTGTATTCAAAACATATCAAGTGGTTACCAAAGGGATCACAAGCGGAAAATTTTAAGGAGACTGATGTAGGTCCAGTTTACGATGATATTCTAATAGCCAAGTTGAGGCCGGGGCATGAACTTGATTTGAAACTAATTGCCATGAAAAGTATTGGACGAGATCACGCAAAATTTTCTCCAGTTGGTTAGTTTTTAGATATCGATAATATCATATACAAAAGATAAGACTAGATAGACACACCCTGTGTAAATTTTGCTGGCTGCTTAATAAGCAAGCATTGGTTTATTGGTCTACGAGTATCTACAAATGAGGAAACAGCAGAAATTGGGCATTTTCAAAATAGTTTATGTGTGATTTGATCTCGGATTTGATGTGGACCTACACTCTACAGGGTGTCCAACAACGACCTCAGTCCATTACTATTTCAAAAACAAATGGGAATACATTTTTGAAAACTAAAGAGATAGTATATTAAACTCTCTTTTCAAAAATATGCATCACACACAAATACTGAAAAAGATTCAAAAAATTCAAAATCCTTTTCGAAATGTTTTTTGGATTTTTATGAATCACTTGAAACTTTTATAAATGGCTGTGTTATATTTTTGAAAAGAATTTAATACATTTTAGATTAAAGTGTATGGGATGTTCCATTAAAAAAAATGATGATGTGTTAGGTGTGATAACCGTTTTACGGGACCCCATATGCTATTTACCTTAGTTACCAAAAATAAATATTGCCGACATTAACATAGAAATCCATATAAAAAAGTTCATACTGTTTGAAATTTGTCATTCGGTCTAGCTAAAATTTTCAAATTTGGATTTTGCTGTGAGGAAGTAGCGCGAGTTATGGCATATATGTATACCAAATTTGAGCTTTAAAACCATTTTTGAGTTATAATGCTAAGGGCCGGATGGATGGAAGGCCGGCCAAACGTTCAAACTTTTTGACCTTTTTAATACAGCAGCTGTGCGCAATACTCGCACTACTTAATAACTAAATAAGTGTTCATGGAAGAGTGTGCTGAACACATACAATTACGATTTTGAATAATGTGCTTCATGGCAAAATCATCCTACAACATTTTTGTAGAACTAAATGAACGGTTGGCAACTCCTTCATTGACTGTGTCTGTCTAGTGTAGCATTATGTAGTTATTATAATAGCCCATACTAAGGTAGTTCCATCGTAGCAACCGCATTCTATCGCCTACTACCCGACATAAAATTAACAAGGGAAGTTGAAGGAGAAGCGGCCGAAAGGTTACAAGGATGTTTTTCTCCCGGTGTAATTGGACTACGTCATTTAAAAGATGGTCGAACAGTCGCTGCTGTGAACAACTCAAGATACGACTCAAGCAGTAGGAATGTATTTCGCTACGATGATTTAAAGGATGCCGTTGTTATGACGAAGATACAGGATCATTTCATTTGTAAGTGGTCGGTTTTAAATCGTTATAGTTTAATGGCTACATTGATTTTTATAGTCAGTGTGGAGTCTGTTGGAGGTATGGCACCGGATGTTATATTCGTAGAAGCTGTAAAAATTTTGAAAGAGAAGTGCATGTCATTGTTGGACGAATTGGAACAATCTTAGAAGTTGTTTTCAGTCTCAATTATTAATATAACATATTTAAAGTATATTTTGAGTTTTTGATGTACATACGTTCACGATTATCTACAGCAAATACAGATTAACTTTTTTCAAATCTGTTTTTGCAATTTTGTAGTGTATCTATCGAGCATGTGCACTTCCCATTTTGAACGCGAACGCATGACTCATGTGGAGTCTATAGTTAACATCACAAATGTTTTGCTGCTAGTCTATGGTAATATCAGTATTGGAGGGTAGGTCTTTGGGTGGAGGGTTCGTCAAAAAAAATGTCAACGTCAATCGGAAAAAAATGATTAAAAACAGATCTCTAATTTTAGAGAAGGTTTCTAGTAAAATTCGTAGTAAGACATAAAGAGACATCTAGATTTTATAAGAAGTTTCCTGAGATTATTCGTAAGGAAACTCCAAAGCATATTTCCAAAGAGGTTTCCGAGATCCAAACAATATTTCTAGGAAGGTCTCTAGGATAAGTGAAGTCTTCCTACCAATTTTTATTTTTTACTTTCCTCGGATTACTTCGATAATAATAATAATATATTTAAAGCTGTTGCAAAAAAATATGCTTACATTTGTCAACAAAAGGATTGGAAATTATTATTTTACAAAGTAGACACTAGCGTTGGGCAAAAAAATCGATTATAATCAAACGATAACTGATAATCGAGTTTGCTTATTCTTTTTGTTTATAGTCCATTATTTCCTTAATCAATGACTTGATTAATTGATTTATCAGTATAATCGATTATTCAAACTTGTAATCGCCCAGTGCTATTAGACAATGCAAAAAGATATTAAATAAATGATAACATTGTATAAGTAGCTAATAGATTCACTTATTGTGTAGAATGCTCTTTTTTTAGGAACTTCTTTGCAATATACCGGGTGATCGCCAAGTAGTGCCGACAGATTGAATTTCCCGTAAAACTAAACATTTATAAAGTTGGTAACATACCAAATGTCATTTATGTAAAAGCAGTGGTGGATCAATTTAATCACTAATGCATAAATAAACTACATTCTAAACATGTTTGCCAATTCCTTAAGTAAAAAACATTAACAACTTAAAGCGCCCGATTTAAACTGTCTGCAGTTCTTTTTGATCACCCGATATTGAAATAAATGTAAGGTTTTTGTTCGTAAGTTAGACTGGAAGACATTGAATAAATTGAGTGTTGTAACCTCAAAATTAGTTAGTGCAGGGGTCGGCTACCTGCGGCTCTTTTGATATAAAGTTGCGGCTCTCCGTATTTATCTAAAGAAATTAGTTCGATTGTTCGAAATTCGCCTTTTTAATTAATCTTATTTGTTTACGAAATCAAAAGTACACTTGCAGCGAATAATTATCTAATTTGTGACACTTGTTTACTTTCTGGTATTCTTTTGTTTTTTTATGATAGCAGCCTACTCCGATGTATAAACACGAACTTTATTAGATCATAGACCAAAGTATGTGGCATTGATCAAGTCTGTAAAAAAAAAAAATATAGTATGTATAAAACAAACATGTACAGGATTGACAAATAAGTTAAAGGATACAGGTACAGATATATGAACCAAAATGGAAAGACAGTACAAAATTTAAAGGCAGAAGGCTTCAAATTCTCCCAGTGAATAGAAACAATTTTGTAACAAAACAAGTTTTAGCTCTCTTAAATTAATATATTATATAATGAAAAATATTGAATAACATAAAAACTGCGGGGTTTAAGCACAGGGTACCCCTTATAAACATTGAAGACAACACAAAAGACAAACGAATAGCGAAATAAAATAGAGGTAGTTCCATTTGAAAAAGAATAGTTATAGCACTTTGAACAAATGGCATTGAAACAAGTAAAAATATGCAGGATGTTCTATTTAAAAAGATCATTTATTTATTGACATCGTAAAAATGGGACACCCTGTACATTCAAAAATAATTTCTGTAGATCCGCAACCACCAATATTTTTTACCAGGTATTAGCTATGTAGGAAAAACCGACGCACTGTTGCAGGACCCTGTATATAGCCAAATACTGTAATACTGAATCAAAAATTTTTTGTGACTTTAAAAACTGAGAAATGTTGGGCTCTTCCGTTTCAATAAGTTGCTGACCCCTGACCGTTAGTGACTTCTTCAACCAGCAGAATGGTACACAAAGCAAAAGCTTATCTTTTGCTTTGTGTCCATGCAAGAACAAACATTCTAAAATATTACTGTTCAGCTAGCTCAAAACAAATTAAAATTGAAAGTTAGAATTTTATTATCTCCTTGTACGCTTCTGGCATAATTTATGCTATAATCACTAACCTTGATCAATTTCCGAAAATTCCAAAGAATTTATTACACAAGTTTTGATCAACACCTGAAATAATGAAAACTATGCGTGGGTGGCACTTTTGATTCGAGTAAACACAATTAATTGATTGACAAAGACAAAAATTGATTCCGAAACTCATGAAAGAATTCAAATAAAATCCCTGAAAGAAGGAAAGGTTTACAATTGGTCAATTACCCTGCACACCGGCGGTCAACAATAAAAATAAAAAAACTTACATTATTGTACAGTTTTTTTTCTTAGTAATCCAAATAATCTGATTGGAAAATGTTTGCAATACAAAGTGCACTTTGTTATAATTACGTATGTGAACTGTATTACGTTCTGAACACTATAAAATACCAACTACAACGAATTACACATAAATTAGAAATGACGTACGTGGATAACTTGTGCAACCCCGTGAATATGAAAAGGACACTTGAATTTCTGAACGATGTCGGTATATACCAAGAAGTGTGACCTGAAAATGTGAGGTAGTAGAAACAGTTGTGTGGTACAAACTGGTGTATAAAGGGGATATGACCTTAGATGTTAAACCCTATACAAAAAAAAAATCATGTAAAAAACAAAACACAATCTATAGTACGCCAACTCACCCTCTGTTGTCGCAAATGGCAACCACATGTTTGAGAAAGGTTTATAAAAAAAAAGGGTATAGGGGAGATGAGTGATACACGCGCGTTAATAAATTTCGCATCCGACCAATACGTCCGGAATAGATAAGCCTTAGCCCTAGTCAAGGGGATGAGCCGATGCTTATGCCATTCTTGTGGTGCTATATACGTTGTGGCTAATGTATTCGGCATTTAAACTTGCGTGACCATCACGGGAACTAAATGCCCGATGGTACAGCTGGAGTCCGCCCCTGACCGCTAATTTACTGGATCGATTGACGAATGGCGTTGCGGTATCAGTTTTTTTCGTACATGTACGCTGATCGGCAATTCGAACTTTAGATAGTATAACAACCTTGTGATGCCCACATTTTTAACGATTTGAATCGAGTGGCGTAGTCAAAAAACAATTTTGGACCACCGTTTCTGAGGGTTTCGTTTTGCGTCATTTGATTTATTATTGAACGTTCTACCTATTCTTCTGGCGTTATTGATGCCATTATTTTAGTTTGTATATTCTAAGCGCTTCTTTGCTAGCGTTGGGTCAAAAAATCGATTATAATCAAACCATAATCGGGTTTGAATTCTTTTAAATGAATCGATTATTTGATTAACAATTATTTTTAATAATCAATTATTCAAACCTGTAATCGGGCAGTGCTACTCGCTACTGCAATATTACGGGAGCCTTAAAGTTCACATGCAACAAGCAAATTGGTTTAGCCATTTTAATAGCCTTTTCTACATTCGTTTCAATGGCCTTTATTTATTTATTCTCCCGCCCAATTACGGAGTGGCCCGCATAATGTTTTTTAGAGGTGCCCCTGCACAAGGTCTTAAGTTGTTTTATACTACTCCGGCATTTACAATACGAATCAGGAAAATCTAATTCGGAGTAGCTAGTAGAATGCTCTGAGGGAACTGATCTAAGGAAATTCCCACCTCTGCCACAGATGAAAAATTCTTGCCTCAGTCAATTTTGAAGACAGTTTCTAGGAACATTCCTAAGTAGGTTTTCATAAATTCTGTTAAGAACGCTTCAAAGTAGAATTCAAACTACTGTACGTTAATAGCGTTCAAAATTTAATTTTCTGATCTACAGTAAAACATCTCAATATATAAAATTCTCTTTAAAACATTAAAAACTAAAATCACAAAGGTTACAGTAGTAGTTTCGCTAATAAAACAGTTGCCACCTTTAAATTTTCCTTCGTGGAATACTTTTCATAAGGGTAGTGGCATTCGTAATTTGGATCTTGTACTTTATGGATCTGCTTCAACATATCATGGATTACATCATTCATTTCTGTTTCGCTATAATAACCGACAATATTGGACAGCGAGTCCCACACCTTAGATGAGGGAATGATGATCTTCAGGGCGAGGAAAATCGCTGCGGCTGCCTGAACTGATGGTATAACTGTAGAAGAGGCCTTATGCAGTATATAACACTCCAAAATATAATGTACCGCGATATGTAAGAGCTGAAAATTAAGAATAAGGAAATCGTTTCGAAGCAACATGCCCTATTAAGGCGTAGAAGAACGATATGTTACTGTCTTTTATACTAGTTGTATTTGCTACTTTGATTAGAAACCTGTCCTAATTGTTACTATTAACTAGGCATATTTCCTCACAAGTAACTGGCTACATTTGTTACAATAGGACAAACTCCCAGTTAAACTAGCTATATATAAGTAGCATCCGTTAAAAGTAGCACAAATTATGGCTCTCCTACGCTTTACTACATACTTCACTTGGAATCCCCAGTTTGATTATGTAAAAGTTGACATAGAAAATGATATCCGGAACGTTAAAGTCAAATCCAAAAAAAGCCAGCATCTTTTTCTCAAGCTTTAAAATTTGGTCGGCCGTGTAGACGTTGTTGCACAAACGTGCTAACTTCTTTGCCTACGGAAGGAAAATCAAAACCGCAGTATTTGCAATCCGACTTACAGTGACAAAATTATTGTTTTCATATTTCGTAACTATCCACATAATTGTAAGGCCGAGAAGTTGGTACATATTCTGCGAGACGTCTGTAGCCGCTAGAACAGAATCGAACATACGCACCGTGGTAAAAAGCACTGCTG